AGTGCCTCCAGAGGAAGCTGAAGCAACCTGTGGTGAAGCAAACCCGGGGAAGTCTTGTGTTAATTGTGTCTTGCTTCAGCTCTGCTGCTTTGGGGAAGCTTCTGGAAGGTTCCTTCCCGGAGCCGGGCGGTTTCAGGGCTTTGAGTCACCCTTGGGAAATCAGCTCCGGTTCTTTTCCTGCCCCAAAAGTGGTTTGGGAATCCGGAGCCTGGGAAGCCCCATCGATGTTCCCAGCCACCTTTTCCCTCAGGAAAGCAGCTGATTTTTAACCAATGAACCTTTCTGGTGAAAATTTGGGGTGTTCTGAGTGAGGGATTTGGGTTGTTTCACGTTCTTTTCCACACAGAGCTCAGCTGCCCAAAACTTAACTTGACCACCACCACCTGTGGAGCAAAAATGCCCTAAAAAGGGGTTTCCTAGAGAAAATTGTGCTCATCTCTCCCCATCCTTCCTCCCAGCTCCTGCTCACCACCACAGCTCAGGCTTAGGACACCTGTGCAGAGTTTCCAGGCCAAAATACGGGTTTTTTTCCAGCTGGAAATGCAAAAATCTATCAAATCCTGGTGCAATCCCAACCTCTGGAGCGCGGCAGCTGCTGTGGTGAGTCCCAAATTCCCAGGCCCCCACCCCAGCCCTGGGAACCTGCAGCCTGTCCTAAAAGTGGATTTAGGAGAGGAAAAACCCGGAAAACCCACGGAGAGCTTCAGAAATCTTTATTTGGCAGCAGAACCACAGCGCCGGGAGGAAGAGGAGGAGGAAGGGGAGGAAGGAGGGAGGGATTTGAGGCTGGATTCAGCTCCGGAACCTTCTCCAAGCTCCAGGAGCCCTCGGAGGGGAAGGAAGGGGCTCAGTGGTGGTGCTGGTGCTGGTGCTGGTGCTGGTGGTCCTCCACCTCGTGCAGGTGCTCGTGGGTGGCGCAGGTGACGCGGGTGACCAGCAGCATCACCTCCCCAAAGCTGAGCTGGGCGTCCTTGTTGACGTCCAGGTCCTTCATGATCTGGTCGATGGTGGCCTTGCTCTTCACGTGCTGCCAAGGAGGAGGGGGCAAGGTGAGGGCAAAATCCCCTCGGTTTTCCCCCACCCCAGGTGGAAAAAACTTTCCCTTGGCTTTAGGAAGGTGAATTCCAACGGAAAATGGGATTTGGGGAGAGTTTGTGGTGTGGCTTCCAGGGGAAAAAGGAGATTTTGGGCAACACGCTGCTGGATTTTGCCGAGAGGGGGATGAGGGGATGAGAGCTGTGAGGGTTCCTTCACGCAGAAGGTTTGGGGTGGGGCGGCTGGGCAGGAGGGCAGAGCAGGAACCCAAACCCCGAGGACACCCAGGCACCCTCACCTTCAGGTAATTGGCCAGCTGCTTGTCAATGAGCAGCTTGAGCTCCTTCTTGGTCAGGGTGTCCCTGTCCCCCTCCCGCCGCGAGTACTGGTGGAAGACGTCGATGATGACGTCCATGGCCTTCTCCAGCTCCGACAGTGGCTCCTGGCTCTGCTGGCCCTGCAGAGAAACGGTCACGCCAATGAGACAGGAAAATCTGGGAGCACGGGGCTGGGCCCAGCCCTTCTTTTCTGGGGGGGAAGGTTCCTTTTTGGAGCTGTTGGGGTTTTCTCCAAGGAGGCTGAAGGACCTTGCGGCCTCCATGAACCAACAGATGAGAGCTCAGAGCTGATTTGTCCCCAAAGTGGGCCTGGTCCCCACCAGAGCAGCTGATAACGCCCCAAAAACACAGAGCAGGTGAGAACACCCCAAAAACCATCAGTGGGGACACAGAGTAGGTGAAAACACCCCAAAAATCCTAAGTAGGGACATAGAGCAGGTGCGAACATCCCAAAACGCTCTGTAGGGACACAGAGGAGATGAGAACACCCCAAAACCCTCAGCGGGGACACAGAGCAGGTGACAACACCCCAAAACCCTCAGTGGGGACACGGAGCAGGTGAGAACACCCCAAAAACCCTCAGTGGGGACACAGAGCAGAAGATCTGACATCCAGGCGCCTCTCTGGTGGTCGGGAAGCTCTTGCAGGAGGAACCTCTCTCCTCACGGGCGCTGGGGATGGTTCTGCTCTGCTGGGACGTGGGGTTGGGACCAGGAGAAGCCTCCTGAGGATCCTCACCCCTCGGATGACCTGGAAAAGAGCACGGACACCCCAAACACCCCCTGCACTTGCCTTGCTCATCTTGCCACCACAGCGAGGTCCCCTGGGGCGGGCGTGGGGCCAGGTGCCACCTCAGGGTCTCTTATAGCCGAGCCGGTTGTGAAACGTCCCCATCCCGCTCCAGGCTGGCCCCACAACACCCCTGGCATTGCTCAAGGCTCCGGGAAGTTCCCCAAAAGGGGCTCTGTGGCTTTTCCCGCAAGCTCGGGGTGTCACGGGCTCAGGTGGCCTCGGGGGTGGCCCTGTCCCCTCACCTGCTGGGATTCTCCACCAGCTCTGGGTGAAAAAAAAACCAAAAAACATTTCATTTGGGATTTTTCCACATTTTCCTCCTTTCTGGGGCTGTTTTCTGATGCCAGGGGGAGAAACACACCCACGATCCCAAGATGTCCCCACCCTGGTGCATCCCTGAGCTTGGTAAAATCCTCCAAAATCCCCGAGCCCGCAGCAGGACGCCGAGTGCCACCCGCGTGACACCGGGGCGCCGGCGGCACCGGGGCCGTGCCCTGCCTGCAGGAACCCCGAGAGATGATCCGGGCGTGTTCCCGGCCTGGCTCGGCTCCAGGGGCTCCGTCCCACCCGTGCCAAGTCGGGTTCTCCCAGCCCGGGTGCGCCCTGAGCCGCAGAGCCCAGGTGTGGCGGAAAGGTGCGCTCGGGTTTCGCTTTCCGGGGCTCTGCGCTGCCTTTGTGGTTTTTGGTGCTGTTGTTTTGGCCCTGGCGGCTCCCGGCTGCCCCGTTTTGGGAGCAAAACGAGATTTTCCAGCGTTCCCTCATCCACATGAGCTGCCTGCTGACTCAGCAGCTCGTCTGGGCTTTGTTGGATGTTGAACCTGCCCAGCTCAGGGGTGGAAGCCAAAACAAAGCCTGGGGCGAGTTCAGGAGCTCCAGAGGAGCTGGCACAGGGCGCCAGCAGCAAGGAGCAGGGATTCCAGCAGGAATTTCCCCCTGGAAAGGGCGACCAGGCCACGGAGGTTTGGAGTCCCCTTCCCTGGAGGTGTCCAAGGAAGGGCTGGACTGTCGCTGTTGGGCACAAAATGAGTGCACAGATGCTTGGTAAGTTCAAAAGAAAAAAAACCCCAGTTTTACTCAAACATCTGGTATTTATAGAATTCCAGAGGTGACTGTGGATTGGAGGATGGAATTACCACCTCTCCAACCACACTGGTCCGAAGATCGATCAATCATTTCTATTTACAGAGAAATATGTAAACCATTCTATTCATCCATGAAACTGTGTGGGAACTCTGACTCTCAAAGATGAAAACACGATCAGAAGGTTAAAGAAGTTTTACAAGAACTTTAAAACTTTCAAAAGAACTATAAAAGACAACTTCACGCTTTTAAAAATCGGGGCAACACCGGACATGGCCCGGGTGAGCAGACCCCAGGCTGGAGTCGATCTCGGAGGCCTTTCCCAGTGAAAGGAGCCCGGGATGCTGCACCCCCAGCCCCCAGCCCTGGCTCTGGGCGCTCTGCTTTCACAACGGGCAGGATCTGCTGCAGAACAGGACGTCCGGGCACCGCGGGGGCCTTTCACAACCCGGGAGCGGCCGCGGCGTTGCGGGGCTTTGGTGCAATTTCAGGAAACCTCCTTGGGTGGCTTTGATCGCCCTGGAGGTGCCAGGGTGGGGCTCAGGGGGTGGGGGACAGGGGGTTCCAAGGTGGGCCTGAGCCAGGGGTGACCCCCAGGTGTGGGTGGGCAGTGGGCATCGAGGTGCCCGGCTGTGGGAACCCAGCACATCCCTCTGGCTGCCCTGGCTGTCCCCAGACTCTGGCAGGAGCTTGGAGACCTTGGCACAAAGTCAAAAACAGCTGTGGCTTCAATTTTAGCCTGTGGAAAAAGCTGCCAACCTTGTGTGAGGAATTACAAGCCACAAGGGTTTGAGTTGTGTGGTAGTCGAATTAACACAGGGCGGAAAAAGTAGAATTTTGGGATTTTTAGGATGGGGTTCAAGTGGCAGTGCTGAGGGTCACAGGGACGGGTGCTGGCACCCTTTTGGTGGCTCTTGCAGGGTGACCTCCCTGCCCAGCTGTCCCCAAGGCCCAGGCTCGGCCAGGGATCCATGGAGGGGAGCAGGAGCAGCTCTGCATCTGCTGGGAGGTGCCTGCAGGGACACCCCGAGGTTGGAGCTGCAAAATTCTTTCAAAATGCACTTTTGGGGCAGGAGAGCGGCTGCTGTGGGCAGAGCAGCTGTTTTGTCCCCCTGGGGTCCATATCCCAACACCCCAATACCCCAACTTCCCAAATCGCCATCAAGTAGAGCATTCCCAGTGCCAGAGATCCAGGATTTGGGATTTGGGATGTTTGGGATGTTGCAGGGTTGAGACATGGAAGTGTCTGGACTCTGTGTCTCTCCCAGAACAGCAGAAAATCATCATGGACGTATCCTGAAATCCCAAACCCAAACCATGGGATTTCGGGCACTGGGAACATTTTGCTCCATGAGGATTTTTCCCAACAAAACCATCCTTCCTCAACAAAACCACGTTCGCAGATGACCACACCCGCCCCCGGATGGATGAAGAGACAGGAAAGGCTCCAAGAACTTCAAGCGATGCTTTATTGTCCCAGATTGAAGAGTCACCCATCCCGAACTGGGATCCCAAACTGGAGAATCAGCCATCATAAATTGGGATCCCAAATTAGAGGGTCACCCATCCCAAATGGGGATCCCAAATTGGAGAATCGGCCATCCCAAACTGGGATCCCAAATTAGAGGGTCACCCATCCCAATTGGGATCCCAAACTGGAGAATCGGCCATCCCAAACTGGGATCCCAAATTGGAGTGTCACCCATCCCAAGCTGGAGGGTCACCCATCCCAAACTGGGATCCCAAATTGGAGGGGCTGCTCCAGGGGCTGTTCCAGGCAGGCCGGGAGCAGCCAGAGCCCAATTCCCGAAGCTCCCCTCTCCGTTTCCCACGCCGGGCTCAGTCCTGGTCCGGCCCGCAGCGGTCGGAGCCGTGGCTGATGCGGTGGGCGTCGTCGGCCAGCTTGCTGAGCACGATGGTGAACTCCTCAAAGCTCAGCTCCTTGTCCTTGTTCAGGTCGGTCTCCTGGAAGAGCTTGTCCAGGTAGCCAGCCTGGTTCCTGTTCTGAATTTGGGGACACAAAGGTGGGGTCACGTCCCTGGATCCACCCCCGGAGCTGCCCTGGGAAGGGTTTGGATGTCGCAGCCCTCCCCTCCCTTGCCCTTAGCCCCAAATTAAACCCAGAGGTTTAATTCTGGGAGGCCTTGAACCCAAGAGATTTAATTTTAGGTGGCTTTGAACCCCAGAGGTTTAATTTTGGGTGGCTTTGATCACCCCAGAGGTGCTGGGGGAGGAGGGGGCTGGGACAGGGGGTTCCAAGGTGGGACAGGGGCCTGATTTTGTCCCAGAGGATTTGTCCCAAGGCTTTTGTCCCAAACCCCTGTGGCTGGGGACACAGCGGCTTTTAGGAGAAATCAATTGGGCCGGGCCAATTTTGGGAATCACCAACAATGAACTTGCACCACTTTTCAACTCATTGAGAGGAGACTGCAACATTAGATGCCCCAGAGCCCTCAGAGCTGAGAGAAAGCTGAGAAAGTTGAGAAAGGCCACAGCTGTTTCTTCTTGCAGTGTTGGGAGAAAAAATGCAATTGTTTGGTCTCATATTTCAATGGGACCTCAAAGAGGGATCCTCTGTTGATAATCAAAGGGATTTTCTCATCCTACAGATCTCCAAAACCAATTTTTACACCATTAGAAACGATGGCTTGGATCATAACCAGAGCCAGAGCGAGATTGCTGACAAAGACTCCACAACAATTTATCTGCCATCGACAAGAGAATCTTTGGATTGGGCCTTGAAAAAAATCAGAAAAAAAAAAAATCAGAGCAGGAGTGACCCCAGACCGGGTGTGATGGAACCCCCCAGTGCCCCCCGTCCCCCAGAGCCCCATCCCCGTGGGATTGTCCCCCGGGCACTCACGCAGGTCCCCAGGAAGGAGGGCGCCTGCTCCGTCAGCAGCGTCCTGAAGTCGCTGAGGTTCAGGAGGTCGGCCTCGCCCTGGCGGATGCTGTACTGGTGGAACACATCCACCACGGTCTTCAGGGCCTTCTCCAGGGTGCAGTTCCCCGGGAGCTGCTGGCTGCCGGCGTGGCTGCGGGTGCTGGTGGACATGGCTGAGCTCTGGAAGGACCTGCAGGGGTTGGGGACAAACCTCGAGGGCGTGAGAGGAGCCAGAAATTGGCTGGGGGACAAGGATGCAATGTGGCATGGGTGACACTCCAGTTTGGGATGGGTGACACTCCAATTTGGGATGGGTGACACTACAATTTGGGATCCCAATTTGGGATGGGTGACACTCCAGTTTGGGATCCCAGTTTGGGATGGGTGACACTCCAATCTGGGATCCCAGTTTGGGATGGGTGACACTCCAATTTGGGATCCCAGTTTGGGATGGGTGACACTCCAGTTTGGGATCCCAGTTTGGGATGGGTGACATTCCAATTTGGGATCCCAGTTTGGGATGGGTGACACTCCAATTTGGGATCCCAGTTTGGGATGGGTGACACTCCAATTTGGGATCCCAGTTTGGGATGGGTGACATTCCAATTTGGGATCCCAGTTTGGGATGGGTGACACTCCAGTTTGGGATCCCAGTTTGGGATGGGTGACACTCCAATTTGGGATCCCAGTTTGGGATGGGTGACACTCCGGTTTGAGATCCCTGAGCTGCGCCTGAGCCAGGGGCACCTGCTGCTCCTTGTTGAGGGGCAGGAAATGAGGGGATTTGGGGATATTGCTGGTTATGGCTCCGGTTTGGCTTTGCCAAGGAGCAGCTTGTTCCAGCACACCTGGGGACCTTTCTCAGGTGAGGGGAGCAGGGTCAGGCCAGCGGGGCACCGCCAGCGAGGACGTTTAGGGCAGAGGGCACAGAATTAGTGCTGCCTCCACCCAAGATGTCACCAAAATCCCATTAATTTGCCCTGATTTTCCAATCCAAACCAACCTCCTGCTCTACCCCGAGGAGAACCCATCGCCCTGGGCTGGTGGATCCCAAACTGCTTCTCCCTCACCCTTTTCCCTGCAAGGACCATCCTTGTCCTACTCACCCTGGTCTCCGAGGAGGGTTTGCAGGGGATGGATCCGTCGGTGTGACCCGGGAGCCCGGAGCAGCCCTTTTATACCTGCATGAGGTCCTCTTTCATCAGAGCTGGTGACACACCTGCCACAGGCATCGGCTTGAGTTCACATTTCCCGCACCTGGAAATTGCCAGGTGGGAGCCCCGAGCCCCTCCCAGCCTCATTCCTCCGCTCCAGTTCCTGGTTGCACCCACCAGGCTTTGGAAATGTTGTCCTTGGCCCCTCCATCACCTCTGACAGGGCTCAGGGAGGGGAAGAACCTCGGCTTTGTCATACCTCGATGTCGAGGGCAAGGCCGTTCGGGCAGAAGTTGCCAAAACTTGGGGAGTTTTGCAACGCGGCGAAAAACTTGCACATTTTCCTTCTGCTGTAGGAGCAAATATTGGGCTGTTCCACATGGAAACAGAGATAACTTTGTCCCCTTGGTGAATTTTTAATGTGATTTCTGTTTTCTACAGCCCCAACTGGTTGGACACTGCCCAAGACAAAGCAGCATCTGTATTTTATAACTTGTCTTCCAGAATATTTTCCATTGTTATCTACTTGTAGCAGTCCTCTACTCTCGCTCCAGAGATTTTCTGGAGGAAACTGGGCACAAAACCAGGAGAATACCCAAGGCCAGGGTCTTTTCTGGCTGGTGCAGGAAACGCCACATGTTGCCACATGCCAAATGTCACCTGTGTGTCACGCGTGTCAGGGACAAGAATGAGCAGACAATGAAGAGATTTAAAATCAGACAATGAGGAAATTTAAAATCAGACAATGAGAAGATTTAAAATCAGACAATGGGTAGGAGGAGCAGGGGAGGACCAGGCGAACTGGAGGTGCCTATTCCTGTTTGAGGATGCTCCTGTGTCCCCGGGGCATTGCACGGATTTATTCCGGTATCCCTGACTCACTGCACAGCTCCTTTTGCTTCCCGGCCCCGCTCCTTGCGGGGTGTCAGCCATCCCAAATAAGGATCCCAAATTGGAGTGTCACCCATCCCAAACTGGACTGTCACCCATCCCAAGTTGGAGTGTCACCCATCCCAAATTGGACTGTCACCCATCCCCAGTTAGGATCCCAAACTGGAGTGTCACACATCCCAAACTGGGATCCCAAATTCGAGTGTCACCCATCCCCAAATGGGATCCCAAATTGGAGTGACCCCCATCCCAAACTGGGATCCCAAACCGGAGTGACACCCATCCCAAACTGCATCCTTGTCCCCCAGCTAGCAGGGAAAGCATCTGGTGCTCTGGGGCAGTTCCAAATTTTCCCATTTTTCCCCTAAAACCTGTGGGGGAGCAGCTGGCGATGCCCAGCCCTGCAAGGGCAGCGATGCCCGAGTGACACGGGGGTGGCAGTGAGTGACATTTCCCCCGAGGGACGAGGGTGGCTCCCCAAATTCAGAGCTGCCCTGTGTCACCGAGGAACCACCCAAATGCCCCTGGTTTCACCCGGGACAGGCTCCTGGTCTGGGCTGATGTCGGAGCCTCCTGAGCCGGGGGTTCCCCCTCAGTGTCCCCTCACTGACGGGTCCAGGAGCTCTGGGGGTTCCCCCTCAGTGTCCCCTCACTGACGGGTCCAGGAGCTCTTCTCCCCTCCTGCTTCAGCCCCCAGGAGCCCACGGTGGCTTTGGGGTGTGTGGTGACCTGGGGGATGTGTCCCAAACCATGAAGTGTTTGACTCGTCCTGCAGAGCGGCCGTTCCTCCGAGCAGCTCCCAGGATGGAGCCCCTGGAGCCCCTCGGCCTCGTTCTTTGCTCTGCTGGGGCTGCTGGGCTGTTTTGGGGGGGTCACAAAAACATCTCACAGGCACCTGGGAAGGGGTAGCCCTGGAATGCAGCACCCCCAGGACGTGGCACCCTCGGGATCTGGTGTCCCTGGGATCTGGCACCCCCAGGATGTGGCACCCCAGGATGTGACACCCTCGGGATCTGGTGTCTCTGGTTTGTGACACCCCCAGGATGTAACACCCCTTGGATGTGGCACCCCCAGTTCCAGGGCTGCGTGTTGGCAGAGACCTGAGGAAGGACCCCCCATCCCAGCTCTGTTTCGCCTCTGGCACCTCTTGGAGCTTCACGCTGGGATCTGACAACCTCCAGGAGCCCCCTCAGCCTGGGGGCTGACCCCCCAACACCCTGTCCTGACCCCCTCTCTGCCCAGACCAGTGTCCTCCCGTGCCACTCTCCCTTCCCATCGCTTTTCCTGTTCAATCTGGGTTCCAGCCCCTCCCCAGGACACGGCACACGGATGGGTTTGGTGCTCAAAGGAAGAGATTTTATTTCAATGCCACGAAGTAGAAGCAGGTGACAAAGGTTTGGTTACAGGCAAGGGCCGAAGCTCCTGGGGGGACGCAGAGTCCCGTGGCTCGGCCAAAGTGGGCGATGTTTCCGTCTCAGTGACGGTGGCCAGGGCCATGCCCGTGCCCGTGGTCGTGCCCGTGGTCATGCCCATGCCCGTGGCTGTGGTCATGCCCGTGCCCGTGGCCGTGGTCATCACCAGGGCCCTTGTGGGACCTGTTGTGGGCATCGATGGCCACGAGGCTCAGCGTGGTCAGGAACTCGGTGAACTTGAGGCGGCCGTCGTGGTTGGCGTCGGCTTTGGTGAAGAGCTGCTGGATGTAGCTGTCCGTGCTGGTGTTGGGCTGTGGGGGAGCACGGGCAGCTCGGGGTCACCCTGCCCGTCCCCAGCTGTGGCTGAACCCCAAAAAACCCTCCCTCCCTTTGGAAGCTCCCAAGATAAAGTTCTGGGGTGGCCTGCCCGGGGGAATCACCACCCCTGGAGGAGTTTAAACGAAGCCTGGATGTGGCACTGGGTGCCAGGGTTTGGTTGAGCTGTTGGGGCTGGGTTGGACTCGATCCTCTTGAAGTCTCTTCCAACCCAGCGACTCTGTGAATTCCATGACCCGCCCCCATCCCCAAGGATCCCTGGAAGTGCCCAAGGATGAGCACCCTAATCCAGCGGGAGGTGCCCCACATTCCCGGGAATGAGAGGATCCCCCAGACCCCTTCCCACCCGCCCCACAGCTCCGGGCTCTCACCGGCGCCGTGCTCCGCAGAAAAGGCTCGGCCGTCTCCTTGAGCAGCTTGGAGAACTCGTTCTTGCTCAGGTAGTCGTCCACGGGGCGCTGCACCGCGTACCGGTGGTAGATGTTGACGGCGCATTCCAGCGCCAGCTCCAGGTCGGTTTTCATCCTGCTGGGAAGAGACAAAGAGCAAAACATCCCAAACCAAGTCCCAAAGCACGAAAGGTTTGACTCGTTCTGCAGAGCGGCCGCTCGGAACGAGGACCGGCACCGGCCGCTCGTCCCACAGCGCCGGAGGAGCTGCTCACCTTGGGAGGAGGTCTGGGCTCTGCAGAGGGACGAGAGGAGCAGGAGGAGCGGGTGATGCTGAGCTGGGGATGGCACCTTTTATACCCTCCCGGGGCTGCCAGCTGTGCCAGCCTCGGCTCCCGTCGGGGCGGTCACCCCGGAATTGTGCAAGGCAGCGCAGCACGCCCAGGTGAGGATTTCGGGTTCCTCGCCCCATCCAGGAACTGTTATCGAGGGAGGGGAAGCCCCAAACTCGTTGGGCAAAACAAGGAAACACCAAAAATTACATCGGGGTCAGCGATGGTGCAGAAGATTTTCTGGAAGGTTCCCCAAGTGTTCAATGCAGAAGATGGAAGAGGAACTTTTCTGGGTGGGGGTCTCCAGCAGGTTTTACCCATGGGAATGTGGTTTGTCACCAATTTTTGGTGAATTTGGCTGCTGGACAGGTCTCGGGTTAATCCCTTTTCTGACTCACAGATGGGGCCAACCGAGAGGCGTTTGAAAAACTCCAATTTCATTTCATCAGGCTTTGAAAATTCTCTCCCAATTCACCTCCCAGGTGCCAGGGGTGGGCAGCACATCCCACCGCTCCAGGAGGACATTCCCCCTGGATGCAGGGAGTCACCCCGGGCACAGCCCTGCTGCGTGGGGCTCTGCCAGCCGCTCCTGGGAGGTGCCACTTCCCGGCAGCGGGAATTGCTGCCAAGGATAACCCGGGGCATTGGCAAATGTGCCCACCCCCAGCTGTCCCCCAGGCCTGGGACCCCCCCAGTGTTCCCAGTGGGGCCCCCCAGTGTTCCCAGTGGGGCCCCCCAGTGTTCCCAGTGTCCAGATGAGCTGCAGAGCCCCAGGTGCCTGGAGGAGCCTCCACCCGAGTCAGCCCCGTGCTGTGATGAAGGCTTTTGGGAAGCGATGATGACAACGGCCGTGAGACATCTCCCCACCAGCCTCCTAATCCCAGAGCTCCAGGAACCGCTGCCAGAAATCCCCAAAATTGCAAAATAGGGACACAAAGGGACGGGTTTGGGACGGGGATGGGCGCGTCCTCAATGGGAAGGGGACACACGTGGGCCGGGCAGAGGGACACGGTGACACGGCGGTGACACGGCAGGGACACGGGTGACACGACAAGGACATGGGTGACACCACAGGGACACGGGTGACACCACAGGGACACGGGTTCAGGCAGGCCTGGGGATGGCAGAGGATGTGGCTGGGGCACCTGGGGAGTGGGACAAGGACAGGTGAGTGCCATGGGGATGTGTGGGGATCCCTGACAGTGGGGACGAATTTAGGGTGAATCCCCGACAGGAGAGATGAATTCAGGGTGGATCTCAGTGGGGATGAATTTAGGATAAACCCCTGACTGTGGGGATAAATTCAGGGTGGATCTCAGTGAGGATGAATTTAGGATAAACCCCTGACAGTGGGGATGAATTCAGGGTGGATCTCAGTGGGGATGAATTCAGGGTGGATCTCAGTGGGGATGAATTTAGGGTGAACCCCTGACAGTGGGGATGAATTCAGGGTGGATCTCGGTGAGGATGAATTTAGGATTAATCCCTGACTGTGGGGATGAATTCAGGGTGGATCCCTGTGAGGGGAGAGGGTGTGGGGTGGATCCCTGTGAGGAGGGATGAATTCAGGGTGGATCCCTTTGGGCAGCATCATTCCACCTTCAGACAGCCACAGGTGAGGTCGGGGATTTTGGGGTTCCCCCTCAGCTGCCGGGGTGCCGGGGCGGTGCAGCCCCGTTCTCTGGGGGTTCTCTGACTCTGCAGGGATGGAGATGTTTTTTCCCTAAATCTTAAAATCCCAGGATCTCGGACACGCCGCTCCAGCCCTCCCTGGGCAGCGCCTTCCAAGGCCTGGCCGCCCTTTCCAGGAGGAATTTTCCCAAATATCCACCCTGAGGCTCCCCTGGCACAGCCTGAGGCTGCTCCCGCTCCTCTTTGTCCCTTTGTGGCGCCCCTGGGAGCGCAGGAACCGAGCACGAAGGTGATGGAGGGGCACAGCCACATCTGGAAGGGGCGTGTGGCACATCTGGAGCCCGGAGCAGGACGAAGCTCAGCTCCGGGTGAGCGGCAGAGCCGGGCGGGCGCGATTCCAGCCCGGAGCTGTGGCCGCATCCCGGCGGGATGTCCGCGGCTCCAGGGAAGGAGAGGCCGGGCAGGGCTGGCTCAGCCCCGCGGGCACCGGGGGAGGATTGGGAGGGCTCGGGAACGAGGAATCCACCACCCCGGGCAGGGCAGGGACAGGGACAGGGACACAGGGACAGGGACAGGGACAGGGACAGAGGGACAGGGACAGGGACAGGGACAGGGACAGGGGGACAGGGACAGGGACAGGGACAGGGACACAGGGACAGGGACAGGGGCAGGGACAGGGATAGAGGGACAGAGGGACAGGGACAGGGGCAGGGACAGAGGGACAGGGACAGGGACAGAGGGACAGGGACAGGGGCAGGGACAGGGACAGGGACAGAGGGACAGGGACAGGGACAGGGACAGGGATAGAGCCAGGGGCAGGGACAGAGGGACAGAGACGGGGACAGGGACAGGGACAGGGACAGGGACAGAGGGACAGGGACAGGGACAGGGACAGAGGGACAGAGACGGGGACAGGGACAGGGGGACAGGGACAGGGACAGAGGGGCAGGGACAGGGGCAGAGCAAGGGACAGGGACAGGGGCAGGGACAGGGGCAGGGACAGGGACAGGGGGACAGGGACAGAGGGACAGGGACAAGGACAGGGGGACAGGGGCAGGGGCAGGGGCAGCCTCCATCACCCCCGGCTTCCCCCAGCCCGGGCAGAGAGACCCCCAAGGCCAAAACGCTTCATTTCCAAGGAGATTTATTGAAATGGCATCGGGAGGACAGCGGGAGGGTCCCGGGGCGGTGCCGGGCCCTGCCCTCACTTCCTGCGCGGCATCTTGTCGGGCAGGTCCTGGAAGAAGTCGTTGCACATCATGGCCATGCAGGCCAGGAAGGTCACGTACTCCTGGAAGTCCACCTCGCTGTCGCTGTTGCAGTCCAGGCTGCTCATCAGCTTCTGTAAACTCTCCTCGCTGGTTTGCTTCTGCCCGGGGAGCAGGGGGGAAAGGGGGGTTAAAAGCGGGGTTTGCACCCCCTGGCAGCCCGCAGTGCCCCGGCACTCACGCTGAAGCTCGGCAGCTCCTTGGTGAGCAGCTCCTTGAGCTCCGCCTTGTTGAGCTTGTACTTGTCGCCCTCGTTGCCCGAGTATTTGTGGAAGGTGGCGACCACCACGGCCAGCGCCTGCTCCAGGGGACACGCCATGGGGACAGCGGCAAGCCTGGCGACACGGGGAGGGACGGAGGAGTTCGGTGTCCCCAGGCACGCCCGGTGCCGGGGGAACGGCCCGTGCCGGGCCCGGGATGTGCCACGTCCCGGGATGTGCCGCTCCCTCCCGGCTGCGGCCGGGCTGGGCACCCCCAGCACGGGGGGAAAGGGCAGGGAAGGGGTTCCGCAGCTTTTCCAGCCCTCCCGGGGGAAATCCACATTCCCAGCTCGGCACCTGCAGCAGGAACCTCTGCCAAGGCCCCTCTGCCAGCTGCGGTGACATCTGGAGAACATCTGGAGGGGGAGCAGAGGGGGAAAACAACTCACCGAGAGCTCAGGCGGGCCACGGCAGCGCGGGCAGGGCGGAAGAGGAGCCAGCCTCGGGGCTGGCATTTATAGCTGCTCCCGGCCACACCCGGCCGGGAGACAGCGACCGGCCCGGGCTGGGCAAGGAAAAAAGGAGGAGAAAGGGGAAAAGGAGGAGAGAGGAAAAAAACCCGGCAGCTCCCCCGGCCCGCCCTGCCGAGGAACCGGTTTGGGTTGGGAGGAGCAAAATGAGCCCCTGGGGCTGCCCAGGGACCACCCGGGCCGGGAGAACCCCTCGGTCGGGGATGTCCCGGTGGGCACCGGTGCAGCATCCCGGGGTTCGGCCGCGGGGCTGCTCCGAGCCGGGGGTTGTGCCGAGGTTTTTTTTTGTCCTTTTTTTCCAGTCTCCTGGCAGCGATTTGTGTTTCCTAACGGCGAGGGCGGCGCGTCTCCAGGCCCCGTTGTGTAACGGGGCCGCTCCGGTGGCTCGGGCGGGTGTCCCGGGGCTGCGGGAGCACCGGGAACCGGCCCAGGGAGCCCCAGCCCGGCCAAACCGGCGACAAAAACGGGGACAACAGAGCTGCGGCTGCCCCGATGCTCAGGGGGGTGGGAAATGCCCCAAACCCCAGCTCGGGGGGCGTCTTTAAATTTTGGCAGAAGAAACCCCCAGGGCTGAGCCTCTGCCCCCCATCAGCGAGTGGGAATTTGGGAGAGTCACTGGGAGGGGCAGGAGAGCCGGGGGGTCTTTATAAAGGGCTGGAGAAGGGGCAGGAGAAAGGTTGGAGCTCCTGGAGGGACCTGAGGGGGCTTTGGGGAGGAGCTGGGGGGCTTGGGGATGACCTGGGGGCTTTGGGGAGGAGCTGGGGGGCTTGGGGATGACCTGGGGGCTTTGGGGAGGATTTGGGGGCTTTGGAAGAACCTGGGGGGGCTTTGGGGAGGATTTGGGGGCTATGGGGAGGAGCTGGGGGCTTTGGGGATGACCTGGGTGCTTTGGGGAGGATTTGGGGGCTTTGGGGAGGAGCTGGGGGCTTTGGAGATGACCTGGGGGCTTTGGGAGGAGCTGGGGGCTTTGGGGAGGAGCTGGGGGCTTTGGGGAGGATCTGGGGGCTTTGGGGATGACCTGGGGGCTTTGGGGAGGATTTGGGGGCTTTGGGGATGACCTGGGGGTTTGGGGACAGGCTCTGTCATTCTTCGTGTGGGTTTTACAGGCGGGATTATTTCTCTGGAAAGGCGGAGAGCAGCCGAGGGACCTTTCCCAAACCAGCCCCGACCTGCCCGGAGCTGCTGGGGGCGGGGGAGCCCCGCGACTCCCAAATTCCAGCCCCGAGCCAGGGGGTTGTGGCCGCCGGGGACACGCTGGGGCTGTTGTGCCTTGCCCAGTGTGCCCCCAACCCCGGTGGCACCTGGTGCCCACCCCTGAGCCCTCCCCGAGCCAGCCAGAATTGCCGGGGGAGACATCCAAGAGCTGCTTTTGTTCAAATTCCTCCCAAAAAAAACCTCCCGGGGCTGATTCGTGCCGTGGAAAATCCCCCGGAGCTGGAAGAAGGTGTGAGTCAGGCCGGGCCGGCTGCTGGTGGCCACGGAGCCCTGGAATGCAGCCAGGATTGGGGTGAGGCTGAGCAGAACCCCCAAACTCAGCCAGGATTGGGGTGAAAATCCTGAACAGAACCCCCAAACTCAGCCAGGATTGGGGAAATCCTGAACAGAACCCCCAAACTCAGCCAGGATTGGGGTGAAAATGAGCAGAACCCCCAAACTCAGCCAGGATTGGGGTGAGGCTGAACAGAACCCCCAAACTCAGCCAGGATTGGGGTGAGGCTGAACAGAACCCCCAAACTCAGCCAGGATTGGGGAAATCCTGAACAGAACCCCCAAACTCAGCCAGGATTGGGGTGAGGCTGAACAGAACCCCCAAACTCAGCCAGGACTGGGGTGAAAATGAGCAGAACCCCCAAACTCAGCCAGGATCCAAAAAAAACCTGAACAGAACCCCCAAACTCAGCCAGGATTGGGGAAATCCTGAACAGAACCCCCAAACTCAGCCAGGACTGGGGAAATCCTGAACAGAACCCCCAAACTCAGCCAGGATCCAAAAAACCTGAACAGAACCCCCAAACTCAGCCAGGACTGGGGAAATCCTGAACAGAACCCCCAAACTCAGCCAGGATTGGGGAAATCCTGAACAGAACCCCCAAACTCAGCCAGGATTGGGGAGAACCTGAACAGAACCCCCAAACTCAGCCAGAATTTGGGAAAAGCTTTTATTGAAAGCCACTCAGGGCTGTGATGGACACAGGGAGGGGTCATTCATGGGGTCACTTGAGGGGTCACTCATGGGGTCATTGAGGGGTCATCGAGGGGTCACTCGGGGGTCACTCGGGGGTCACTCGGGGGTCACTTCCTGCGCTGCTGCTTGCCGGGGTCATCCTTGAAGAAGTCGTTGAAGGCCATGGTGACGCAGGCCAGGAAACAAACGTACTCCTTGAAGTCCACCTCGCTGTCCTTGTCGTGGTCCAGGTCGTTCATCAGCCGCTTGAACTCGACCTCGTCCATTTGTTTCTGCGGGGAACAGGGTTTGGGGTTTGGGGTTTGGGGTTTGGGGTTTGGGGTTTGGGGAGGGTTTTTCCTCTGCTCTGCAGGTGAGTGAGTTGGACAGCCCCCAAATTACCCAAAGTGCCTCCAGGATGTGGAAAATTTGGCAAAAAACAAGCAAAAAATAAAAATTTGCCTCCCAGCTGAGACCGCAAGCTGAGAAAGGGAAGTGGGGGTTAAAAAGAAAAAAAAAAAGAAAAAAAAAAAGGAAATGGAGCGTGATTTCATTCGCCAAATGAAATGTTTCTGCGGGTTTAAAAAAAAAGCTGAATTTCCTTTGGGAAAAGGAATTTTTTTGGGGGCTGAGCCCCTCAGGGCCTCGTCCCTCCCGTTCCCCAGGATTTGTCCATCCCTGAGGGACGAATCCATAAAGTTCCACTGGGGAACATCAGAGACACCCCTGGGCCGGTCTGAGGGACACCGAGGGGACACCGGGGAGACACCGAGGGACAATGAGGGGACACCGAGGGGATACTGGGGGGACATCGAAGGGATGCCAAGGGGACATCGGGGGGACATCGAGGGGACACCAAAGGGGCATTGAGGGGACACCAAGGGGACATTGGGGGGACACCAAGGGGACACCAAAGGGACATTGGGGGTACACCAAGGGGATATCAAGGGGACATTGGGGGGACACCAAGGGGAGACTGAAGGGACACTGAGGGGACATTGGGGGGACACCAGGGAGATACTAAGGGGACACCAAGGGAACATCAAAGGGACATTGGGGGGACACCGAGGGGACATTGGGGGGACACCAAGGGGAGACTGAGGGGACACTGAGGGGACATTGGGGGGACACCAGGGAGATACCAAGGGGACACCAAGGGGACACCAGGGGGACACCAAGGGGACACCAAGGGGACACCAGGGCGACACCAGGGCGACACCAAGGGGACACCAGGGGGACACCAGGGGGACACCAAAGGGACATCGGGGGGACACCCAGGGGAGACTGAGGGGGACACTGAGGGAACATTGGGGGACACCAAGGGGACACCAGGGGGACACCAGGGGGACACCAAGGGGACACCAGGGGGACACCAGGGGGACACCAGGGGGACACCGGGGATGTCCCCACGGCCACTCACGCTGCCGAAGGCGGGCAGCTCCTTGTTGAGCAGCTCCTTGAGCTCGGCCTTGCTGAGCTTGAACCTGTCGCCCTCCCTGGCCGAGTACTTGTGGAAGGTGGTGACCATGATGGCCATGGCCTGCTCCAGGGGACACGCCATGGGGCCTGCGGGCACGGCCGTCAGCCCCTGCCACCCCGGGCGGGTTTGGGGAGCGGGCTGAGGGCAGCGGCACTCACCGGCTCACCGGGCGCAGATCGGCTCCGCGGGGATGCGGCACCGGCGCTCACCGGGCATTTATAGCCGGGCACGGGCACTGCCCGGGCAGCGCCGGGCCCCCGGGCACCGCCGCGGTTTCGCCCGCGCCTCATTTTTGGCTAACGAGGCGTGTGATCCCGTCAATCAGCCTGTGATCCCATCAATGAGTCGTGATCCCATTAACGAGCTTGTGATCCCATCAATGAGGTGTGTGATCCCATTAATGCACTGTGATCCCATCAATGAGGTGTGTGATCCCATCAATGAGGTGTGTGATCCCATTAATGCACTGTATGATCCCATTTACGAGCTGTGTGATCCCATTAATTAGCTGTGATCCCATTAACGAGCTTGTGATCCCATTTATGAGCTGTGTGATCCCATTTATGAGCCGTAATCCCATTAATCAGCCTGTGATCCCATTTATGAGCTGTGATCCCATTAATCAGCCTGTGATCCCATTAACGAGGCGTGTGATCCCATTTATGAGTTGTGTGATCCCATTTACGAGCTGTAATCCCATCAATCAGCTTGTGATCCCATTAATGATCTGTGATCCCAATAACGAACTGTGATCCCCATTAATGAGCTTGTGATCCCATCAGTGATGTGTGTGACCCCATTAACAAGCTGTGATCCCATTACCAATCCGTGTGACCCCACCAGCGGGCAGTGCGGGGTGCCAGGCACCCCTCGGGGCCCTGGCGTGGTCCCCTGGCTCACCAGGCCCCCCAAAACCGTCACTGCCCCGTGCCAGCTCTGTGGGGCCCCGGTACCCCCAGGACAGGACAGCCGGTGCTGTCCCACCCCCACGGGGAACCCCCACCCCAAATTCTCTGCCATCCTACACGGGGGGTCCCCTTTGGGGGACAGGACCTTCCCTGCGCCCCACATCTCCTCCAGGGCTGGGAAAGGGACACGAGGAATTCCCGAATCGTTCCCTCCCAAAATGGGACCCTGGGGACGCCCTGAGGGGGTCCCCGGCGGAGGAGAGACCCCCGGGGGCTGAGCCCGGGGCTCCGGGATCCCGGGGAGCCGCCGGGAGCCGCGCCCGGCCCGGCCCCGCTCGCCCCGCACCCCCCGGGCTGAGTCACGGCCCGGCCTCGCCCCGCGGGGATTCCTCGCCCGTGACTCACCCGGCCCCGCCCGCTCCCACGGGCCAGCCCGGTTCCGCCGGCACGGGAGCCGGGGCTGCTCCGGGGGGCTGCCTGAGGGACCCCCGGGGGCTCAGAGCCGCGGGTACCACCGGCCCCGGTCCCGGTTCCGGTTCCACCCCCGTGCCTCGGAGTTGGGGGGCTCAGAACAGCGGGGTCCCGGTTCCACCGGTCCCGGTCCCGGTTCCACCCCTGAGCCTCGGAGTTGGGGGACTCACAGCCGCGGGGTCCCGGTTCCGGTCCCGGTTCCGGTTCACCCCCCGTGCCTTGGAGTTGGGGGGCTCAGAGCCGCGGGGTCCCGGTTCCCGGTTCCACCCCCGTGCCTCGGAGTGGGGGGGCTCGGGGGTCCCCCCGCGCCCGCAGGGCCACGGCCCAGCCCCTTCCCGGTGTAAAATCCCCGGGAACAGCCAGAGCTGCCGGCCCCGCCCTGCCCAGCCCGGGGGTCCCGGGGGTCCCGGGAGCTCTGTCCCCATCCCGGCTGGGGGGGTGGGATGTGCCGGGACAGGAATTGGGGTCGGGGCAGCCGAGGGACCCCCGTGGGGACTCGGGGGGACCTCCGGTGCCCAAGTGGCAGCGGGCACCACCCGGTGCCCCGGGCTGGGGCGGGCTCGGGCGGCTGCTGACACCCCGTGGTGGCCCCGGGGCCACCAGCGCCGGTCTCGTCCCATCCCAGGCCAGGCGTGGCCGCTCGGGGGAGGGCGGGGACGGGGCGGACCCCCTCCCGCAGCCCCCCCGGACCCTCCGAGGCGGCAGAGCTGGAGCGACACCCGCTGCTCCTCCGAACTTTATTGCTGTAATAAATAACCCGGCGGTGGCACCGGCCGGGACCGCGCCGCTCCCCGGGCGCGGCGGAGCCTTCAGCAGCTCGGGAAGGGGGGAAAAGCGCCCTCTGCCCGAGGAGAGCACCCCCAGTTTGGGGGGACCCCGGGGGCAGAGGGGTGCTGCTCGCGGTGGGATTCTGCCAGCGGAGGGCTGAGCACAGACAGAACTCCCGGCCCAGAGCGGGGGGAGCCTCTCCCTCTGCTCCCGGGGCAGGAGGAGGGGGCCACGGCAGGAGGAGCCCCCCGAGGCTGCGGCGGGTCCCGGAGCTGCGGGGCCTGCGGCGGGTCCCGGGGCTGGGGCGGGCACAAAGCGGGGGGCGCGGAGGAGCGGGGGGGGGGGTCCGGGGGGCTCCAGGGCCGCTACTTGGTGTGTTTGACGCTCTGCTCCTGCTGGCGGATGATCTGCGCGATGGGGCTGGCGATGCCGCCTATCAAGGTCCAGTACTCCTCGAAGCTGATGCGCCCGTCCTTGTTCTCATCCAGGTCGCAGATCAGCTTGTCGGCGGCGCGGCGGTTGCCGGTGTCCTGCGGGGAGAGCGGAGCCGCTCAGGCCGGGCTCGGGGCGGGGACGGCCCGCGGGACCCCGGCCCGCAGCCCCGGTCTCACCGTCAGCATGTGGTTCAGCTCGCGGCTCAGCATCTTCCGAAAATCCTTCTTGCTGATGCGCCGCGGGTTCTTGCAGCAGCAGCAGCGGCTCGAGTACTTGTCAAAGTTGTTCACCAGCACCTGCACGGCCCATTCCAGCTCCGTGCACTCGGCCATGGTTCCCTGCGGGGGCGGCACTCAGGTGAGACCCTCCCCGCGGCCATCGCCGGGGGTCTCCACGCGAACCCCCCACCCCCGGCAGGTAAAACCCATCCCCGCGGGCCTGGGGCGGTTCTCCCCTCGCCGCATCGCCCCCAAAACCCCCGCTGCCCCCCGCGCCAGCCCGGAACTCCCCGGTGCCGCCCGCGGCCGCCGCCCCCACGCGTGGGGCTGAGCCGCGCGTTCCCAGCGCTCATTAGGGAGGAATGGGGCTGGGAGCGGAGCGGCGGCGGCGCAGGGGCAGGAATTACCTGCCAGCCCTCCTGTTGCTTCACGGCTCCGGGAACGGCCCGGCGGGGCAGGTCCCGGCCTGCCGAGCCCCCCCCGGCCCGGCCCGCGGCGGCCCCACGGCTCAGGGTCCCCTCCCGGCTGCTCGGGGCCCCGGTGGCCCTCCTGCCCCGGTCAGGAAGCTCCTGCCCGGATGGCCGGGCCCGGCAGGATGGGCCCCGCCGCGTCCCGGGGCCGAGGGCGCGGAAACGGCGTCACCTCGGCCGGACTCGGTCCTTCCTGCCCCGCCGGTGGCCGGGACAGGGGACAGCCGGGCCCGGTCGGTCCCTTTGCTTCCCCCCCGGTTTAACCCAGCCCGGGGGACAGCAGCGACCGCCACCTGGGCCTTGGAGCGCCGAGGGTGGCCCCAGCACTGTCCCCGCTCTGGGGACATCAGCAGAGGGTGGCCCCAGCAGCAGGACCTGCTCCGTGCCACGACTTGGCTCCTGTCCCCTCTCCTGTCCCCTCTCCTCCCCAGGGAGGTGACACCAGGCCCCGCCACGCTCTCGTCCCTGTCCCCGCGTGCCTCAGCGCGGCTCTGTGTGCTCACAGGCCATCCTTGTCACCGCGGTGCCACTGCCCGGGCTCCCTCCATCACCCGGGGCTGGGGACTGTCCCCAGCTCTCAGGGTCGTGGCACCAGGGTGGCTTTGGGGCCGGCCCAGCCCTCGCAGGGATCCAGCTCCGACCCCTCCAGGAGCTGAAGGAACTCGGCAGCACCGGGGCAAAAGCCCCCTCGGCGTCCCCTGTGCTGGCCCGGGGTGACATCGGTGACATCGGTGTCACCCGTCCCCTGCCAGGGCGCCCGGCCCGGCCCTGGGGCAGCGCGGCGCTGCTCCGCCGCTGACTCACGGCCCAGCCCCGGGGCCAGCTGCGGGCACGGGCCTCGCCGGGTGGCACTCGGGGACACCGTGGGACACGGGGACACCGGTGGGACACGGGGAAGGGGCTCTGCAGCAGCTCCGCTCCCACCGCTTCTCTCCCCTCTCCCTGTCCGCCCTCGCTGCTCGCCAGTGCCCAGAGCGGGGCCAGAGAGGCACACACGGCCCCAGCACGGCCGGATCCCTGCTGGCAAATCCCCCTTTTCCACCGGCAAATCCCCCTTTTCCACCAGGAAATCCCCATTTTCCAACGGCAAATCCCCCTTTTCCAACGGCAAACCCTCCCCTTTTCCACCAGGAAATCCCCCTTTTCCAACGGCAAATCCCCCTTTTCCAACGGCAAATCCCCCTTTTCCAACGGCAAATCCCCTTTTCCACTGCCAGATCCCCTTTTTCCACCGGCAGAACCCCTTTTTTCACGTGGAAAATCCCTTTTCCAGTGGCAAATCCCCTTTTTCCACAGGCAGAACCCCCTTTTCCACTGCCAGATCCTCCATTTCCACCGGTAAATCCCCCTTTTCCACCGGCCGATCCCGTTTTTCAGGAGCCAGACCCCACTGCGGCCCCACGCCGAGCTCTCCCGCGGCACGGCCGGTCCGTGGGTGCCGCCGGTCCCGTCCCGGACACCCCGACCGGTCCCGGTTCCTCCTCCCCGGGTGACCCCGGCCGGTCCCGGTTCTGCCCCGGGTGACCCCGGCCGGTCCCGGTTCCTCCCCGGGTGACCCCGGCCGGTCCCTCCAGCCGGGCCCGCTCCCGGAGCTGCCGAAGGATTCCAGCAGGAATTTCCACCTCCCAACCTGCAGCGGCACATCCCGGGGCTCTCCCAGCCCGGCACTCAGCCCGAGCCTGCCGAGGCCGCGCTCCCGGTGCCGGGGGACCGGGAATTCCCGGGAGCCCCACCTGCATCCTGCCGGGCTCCCGCTGGGTCCGTCGGTCGCGCTGTGGCCTGGCGGGCGGTGTCGCCGCTCTCTCCTCACCTCGCACCCATCCCTCCGGCCCAGCCGGGTTTTTAAGGAGGCTCCCACCCCTCCCTGACGTTCCCGGGGCGTTCCCGGGCCGGGCTCACCTGGGAAACGCTCCCGGAGGTTGCAACACCGGGACGGGCCGGAGCGAGCCGGGACCCGCAGCGGCTCCGGCTCCTCCCGGGGGCTGCGGGGTTTGGGGGGACCCCAAAACGCCCCAAACGGGCTGCGCGGGGCCGAGGGCTCCCAGCACAGGATTCCCACCTGATCCCCGGGTTTGGAAACCCACCCACCCCAGCTCCAACCCACCCCCGGCACCGGGGGCAAAGGAAATCCTTTATTGAGCCAAAACCTCTTGTTCTGGTGGGTGCAAGGGGCTGAAACAGATTTGGGACAAATAAATTCTTTTATTTGAGCCAAAGTTACTTTTCTGGTGGGTGCAAGGGGCTGAAATGGGTTTGGGACAAATAAAATCATTTCTTGAGCCAAAATAACTTGTTCTGGTGGGTACAAGGGGCTGAAACGGGTTTTGGAGCAAATAAAATCCTTTATTGAGCCAAAACCTCTTGTTCTGGTGTGTTGAAAGAGCTGGCACCAGTTTGGAGCAAATAAAATCCTTTCTTGAGCCAAAAGAACTTGTTCTGGTGGGTGCAAGGGGCTGACACCAGTTTGGGGCAAATAAAATCCTTTATTTGAGCCAAAATGACTTTTCTGGTGGGTGCAAGGTGCTCTGGGGCCCCGTGCCACCCTCGGCCATCTCGGCTGCACCGGGGTGGATCAGGCTGTTCCCAGCTGCCAGCCGGGCTTGTAAAGTCCCATCCATAATTAATTAGCCCGGCAAATTGCAGGCCTGGCTGTCTCCCGGAGCGATGCGATGCCGAGATCAGATCCCGGCCTTATCGGGGAGGGCACACCTGAGGATGCAAAGCAGGAGGAGATTTCTGGGAGCTCCCGTCCCGGAAAAAACGTGTCAGCCCCGCTCCCCCCCGGCCTCTTCCTAATCTCGGTCGGGAGGAAGCAAACCTGTTCTGGGCCCGGTGCTCCTCTGTCGTGGCGTTGCTGCAACATCCCGGGAGGGTGGGAATCCCTCCGGAGCCTGCAGGCGAACAGCTCACGCCTGAATCACGGCCTTTCATCGCTCTGCTCCCCTGGCAGATGTCACAACCACATCCAGGCCCTTCTTTTTACGAGGCATCCAGGGCGTGTGCGGTGCCCCGAGCAGCCGGGAGCCGTCCCAGCGCCGTTCCCGGCCCGCTGGACCGGGCAGGTCGGGGTGGCTGAGGGGCTGGGGGGTGTTTGGTGTCTCCAGAGGGGCCGAGCGCTGGTTTGGGGTCTTTGCTGACCTCCAGGATGGGATCCCGGTGTCGTGTCCTCGCCCAGGGGCTGTCCCAGCGCGGCTGAGCTGTTCCTGTCACCTCCAGAACATTCCAGGACTCGCCCAGGGCTGCCTCATGGGGCAGGAATCGCCCTGGTGGCCCAGGCGGGAGTCCCCACGTTCCCAGCCCGCTGCGGGATTGGGGAGCCCCGGTCCCCTTTCCCCTCCATCACCCCGACCTGACACATTTCCTGTCTCCAATTAAACGCGGCCGCACCTTTCTGCTTAATTCCCATGTATTTATTTCCAGGCGAGGGACAATAAATAGTCATTCCCGTTGTGAAATCCAGCCCGGGAGAGCAGACGGGGCCCGGCTGTGGCCGAGCCGCGCTGCCGGAGCTGCAGGACCTGTCCCCAGCCCAGCCCCGGCCCTTATCACCTCTTATCGCCCCATCCGAGCTTTGCAGCGCTTTTGGTTTGCTTTTCTCCCTCTCGGGGTGACCCGGGTGCTGCCGGGGCGCCCACGCCCTTCTCCCTTTTTAGACGCTCCTTTTTAGGGTCGCCGCTGCGTTTCTGGGGTGCCCACAGCCTCCTCCAGGAGGTGGAGCAAAGGAAAAGTGGGAAAACCGGGTTCTCCAGGCCGGTTCCTCACTCTCCGGGAGCTGCAGCTTTGTGCCATTTATTCTTCCCCAATTTGCTGTAATTTTTGTGCCATTTATTCTTCCCCAATTTGCTGTAATTGCACCCAAATCTCACCTTCTCCCCACACAGCTCCCGGCCTCGCAGCCCTCGGGGCTTTCCAAGCCCTGGATTTTGGGGTCTGACAGGATTTTGGGGTCTCCCCTGAGCTCCCCAAAGCACGGCCCTGGCTCTGCCCGTGGGGTGCCCACCACGGGGACCAGCAGGCGCCTGGAATTGGGGGTGTGGAGAGCCCAGGGATGTCCACAGGGGCCACACACCCCTGCAGCACCCCCTGCACCCCTGCAGCACCCCTGCACCCCTGCAGCACCCCCTGCACCCCTGCAGCACCCCCTGCACCCCCACAGCATCCTCTGAACCCCCCCAGCATCCTCTGAACCCCCCCAGCATCCCCTACACCTCCTGCAACCCCCAGCATCCCCTGCACCCCCGCAGCCTCCCCTGCACCCCTGCAGCATCCCCTGCACCCCTGCAGCCTCCTCTGAACCCTCTGCACCCCCGCAGCCTCCCCTGCACCCCCGCAGCCTCCCCTGCAGCCCCATCCTCTGCACACCCCAAAGTGATCACCCCAACCCACAGTCGCTGTAGCCCCCCCTTCCCCCCACTCCCCCTCTCCCTCCAAAGACAAACGAAGTCACCCAATCCAGGTCGGTTTGTTTTGGGTTTTTTTTTTTTTTCTTTTTTTTCCCAGTGTTTTCCTTTATTAATTTATACAAAAATGGTTGCGAGCGGCCCAAGCTGACCCCGACCCGGCCAGAATCCCGGGGGTGGGGAGCACCGGGAGGGCAGCCCGGCCCGGAGCAGCCCCCCAAAAACCGGGGGGAACGGCGGGGGAGGCTCCCGGGCCGCGGCCACGGTGATCCCGGGGTGCCCCGGGGGCGCCGTGGGGTGGTGGGGCACGGGGCATGGGGGGCCGAGCCCCACAGCCGGGGGGAAGGAGCCGGGGGTCTCTCGCTGCGATGCCCCGGGGCTGGGGGAGCCGCACCCGGAGGGTTTCGGGGGCCCGGGGAGAGAGGCGGCCCCGGGGCCAGGAGCCCTCCGTGCCCCCCGCGCCGGGCACGGGGCAGAGCCGGGGCGGGAGGGAGCGGTCCTGACGGGAAGGAGAGCCGAGGAGGGCAGGGATGGAGCCGAGGAGGGCAGGGATGGAGCCGAGGGGGGCAGGGATGGAGCCGAGGAGGGCAGGGATGGAGCCGGGGAGGGCAGGGATGGAGCCGAGGAGGGCAGGGATGGAGCCAGGGAGGGCGGGGATGGAGCCGAGGAGGGCAGGGATGGAGCCGGGGAACCCTCCGGCAGCAGCGAGGTCGCCTTTTCCCAGGCGCATCCCCCGGGCCCAGCGGCCTCTCGCGTTTCCAGGAGCGGAGCTGAGGCCTCGGGCGCCTTCCCGTCCCCCACCACCCTCTACTTCCTCCGGCAGCCCTTGGCCGCGTCCCCCATCATGTCCCAGTACTCTCCGAACTCCAGCTTGGCCTCGTTAGGGTCTCCCATGCATTCGATCTTCTCTTCCAGGGGTCCCACGCACTGCGGAGAGAGGGTCGGGGTGATGGGGCTGGGGGGTCCCACCAGCAGCCAGAGCCCCCCCAGCTCCTCCTGCCCACCCCCGGCCTCTGCCCTCACCTTGCCCAGGTGCGGCAGCTTCTGCACCACCAGCTCCTGCATCTCGTTGGGGGTCAGGTACTCCTTCTGCCCCTTCACGGCGTAGCAGTGGAACTGGCTGATGACGGTCTCGATGGCCCGCTCCACGTCCGTCAGCTCCTGGCAGTCCTGCGGGGGCACAGGGGGCGAGTGGGCTCCGGGGAGGGCTGGGACAGCTCCGGGAGGGGTGGGACAGCTCCCGGGAGGGGTGGGACAGCTCCCGGGAGGGGTGGGTCATCCCTCGGGGGGCACAGGACGAGCCCCGAGCCGGTGGGACGCTCCCCGAGCCAACATTTAATCCCTGCACAACCCCGGCATAAATCTCCTCGTCAGCAGCTGGCCCGGCTGTGCAGATGTTGAGGCACGCTCCGGTCCAGCTGTGACACCTCTCCATCCAGCTGTGACACCTCCCCGTCCAGCTGTGAGCCCCCCTCCAGCTGCGAGCCCCCCCCGCCCGCGGTCCCCACACATCTGCGCCCAGATGTGAGACCGTACAGATGTTGTGCCCCACATCCAGCTGTCGCACCCCTCCGCAGCGGCTCTGCCCGGCGGGGACAGCCCCTCCAGCTGCCACCGCCTGTCCCCCCGAGCTGTCACCCCCCCGGACGCGCTGTCCCCGCCCGGGGCCCGCCAGGCTCCGCCACCCCGGCGTCTGTCGCCACCCCCGGCGCGGGCCCGTCCCGACTGGTTCTTCCTCTCCTCCGCACGGGTGGCGGTGGCAGCGTGAGTCAGTGCCCGCCGGCCCGGGGCTCCCGGAGCCCCTCTGCCAGCCCGAGAGCCCGTGCCCGGCGGGGCGGGGGGCGCAGGGCATCCCGACCCCCGCTCCCGGTGACTCCCGGGCACTCCCGGTGACTCCCGGCCGCTCGTGCGGCTCCGTTTAAGGGAAAAGCCGGTGATTCCCACAAATCTGCGGCTTCCCCTCGGAACGCCGCGCAGCCACAGCCGGTGATGCCCACTGGGCACAGCCTGGCAACCTCCAGAGCCTCAGCCCGGCCCCCAAATCCTCCACAGGTGCCAAAGCGCTGCGGGGTGGGCGCGTCCCGTTTGGAAGCCGAGGAGAGCAGAGCTTCGCTGCCGTGGGGCATCCTCGGAGAGGCTGCGAGGGGCGCGGGCGGCTCCCCGAGGTCCATCCGCGGCACAGACGGAGCTGCTGCTTCCCCGAGCTCCCAAGCGGACCCGTGCCCAGCGCTGCCGACCCCCGGAGCCGCCAAACCCGCCGGGGGTCCCGGTGCCGCGGTGTCCCCGGTGCCGCGGTGGTGTCCCCGGTGCCCCGCCGCACCTTGCGCTTCTTGCGGCAGTTGCACTGGCCCATCCTGCTGCTCGCGGCTCCTCGCTCGGGGGTCTCTCTCCCTCTCTCTCTCTGTCTCCGGGGGTCTCTCCTCTGCCGCGGGGTCCGGGGGGCTGGCGGGACAAGGCAGCCAAGCTCAGCTCTCGGTCGGGGGGAGCCTCCCCTCCTCCAGCGCCGGGACTCCTCCTCATCCCCGAGCGGAGGGCGAGGAAGGAGCCCCGGGATGCGGCGCCGGAGCTGCCGGGACACGTCCCCGGCGTCCCCGCGAGTCGCGGCAGGGCCGAGCGTGGGAGCGGAGGGCCCCGCGGGGGGATCAGCCCCCCGTGTGCCGTGGGGCGGCCGGGCCACTTACCTGCAGCACGGCTGTCCCGGGTGTGCGCGGGCTGCGGCGGGCCGGGGTTTTATACCGGGGAGGTGTGAGTGGGAGCTCCGTGGTGCAAGGCGGCTCATTTGGGAGCCTGGCCCGGCGCCAGCGTGGGGCCGGGAAACGCCTCCTTCCCGGCCGCACCGACGGTTCCCGGTCCGAGCGGGCCGTGGGAACGGCACCGGGCCCGGCTGCTCGCCCAGAGCAGCGCCGGGATTCGGGAGCTGAGCCCTGGGAACGGGGACATTCCCCAGGCGGGATGCGCTGCTGGATGTGTCACCCCCCGCCACCCGAGACCCTGCAGAGGACGGGCACTGATGCCACAGAGCTGGTGGCCACCGTGGCCAGCGCGGCATCGCTGCCGGGGATCTCCCGAGCCCCACCCCGGCCACAGCCACGGCTCTGCCCCCCACGCACCCCCCAGCGCGGCAGGAAGGTGTTTGTGGGGCGCAGGGTGGCACCCCAAAAGCCAGACCAGAACAAGGGCAATTTGGGAATGGCCCCGTCCCTCCCGGGGTGCCCGGAGCCACGGAGTGACCCCAAACCGGCACCCCGGGGCTGGGCCGGTCCCAGCACGGCCACCACGGGGGAGGAGGAGATGGGGGCTCAAATCCGGACCCCCCCACCAAGAACAGCAGCGATGCTCAGGCTCAGGGAAATCTCTTTTATTTGCCGCACGTCGGCCGAGTCCCCGCAGCGGCCCCGTCACTTCTTGCCCGCTTTGTCCCTGCGCACGGCCTTGGCCAGCTCCCCGATCAGCCGCCAGTACTCCCCAAATCTCAGCTCCTCGTCGTTGTTCACGTCCAGCTCGCTCATCTTCTCCTCCAGCGAGGGCACGTCCTGCGGGCAGCACCCGCCAGGGAGGCTCGGCCGCTCGCCAGGCCCCGGAGAGCGGGACGGGCACGGCTGCAAAGCCCGGGGGCACCGGGAGCAGCCCCGCGGTTCGGGGGGACCCCCGGGGACCCCGCGGTGCTGCTGCTGCTGCTCCCCTCACCTTCATCAGGTTGGGCAGCTGGAGCCGCACCAGCTCCTTGAACTCTCCGGCCGTCAGCGTCCCCTTCCTGCCCTCCTTGGCGGCGAAGGTGAGGAACACGGTGACGATGCGCTCGATGGCCGCCTCCAGCTCGGTCAGCTCGCTCGGCTCGCTCGGCTCGGCCGCGGCCATGGCACCGGCCCCGCCGCCAGCCCGGGGCTGCAGGGACGGGAGCCCCGAGCGGGTCGGAGGCTGAGGGTGTCCCAAGGGGGGACCCTCGCCCCCTCCCAGCCCAGCGAGGGCTCAGCTCAGCCCCGGGACCTCGGTAAGGGGCAGCGGGAACCGGTGATGACGCCGCTGCCGCCCGAGCCCGGAGCGGGGACACGGGCAGGGCACAGCGGGACACCAGCGGTCCCCAGCTGCGGGCAGCGATGCCCCACTTACCCCCTGGCTGCGGGCAGGTGGTGCCCCCGGGAGGGTTCGAGGGGTTCGGGAGGTTTGGGGCGTTCTCAGGAGGTTTTATAGCCGCGCCGCAGGAGGGGACAGCGGGGACAGCGCAGCCTTTGTCCCCCCCGCGCCGGTGTTGGGTTTCCTGGCGCGGCCGGACGGACGCGCAGTCACCGCCCGGGCGCCGCCGTCCGTCCGTCCGTCCGTCCGTCCGTCCGTCCCCTGCTCCCTCCCCGCCCGGGCACAGCACCAAGCTCGGCCTGAACTCGCCGCGGCCTCGGCCCGGGCACCTCCGGTGGGGACAGGAGGGGACCGCGGGCAGAGAGCGCTCCGGGGCTGGAGCATCACCGGGACCTTGCACGGAAACACCCCCGGGATCGTTTGGGTTGGCAAAGACCTCCGAGATGATTGAATCCAGACTTTGAGCCCCGTTCCGGGGGTGCAGGTGGCACCCCCAGCTCCCTCCCTGCGGGGCTGGGGACAAGGAGGTGGCCCCAGAGCTCCGGTCACATTCCGGTGACATCCCTGTCACATCCCGGCTCCGGCAGCGTCACCGAGCCAGGGCCCGGCTCGGCCCGCACCGAGTGAGAGTTGTGACTCAGCCGCCCGTGACATCATCCCTATTAATAGTGGGCTCTGTAAAAATTAATTAATCCCAATTAATTAGGGGGTTGGAACGGCCCGAGCGCTCCCCTTTAATCAGTGGCTGTTCCGAACATGGCTGGGGACACCGAGCAGCTCCCGGTGGCACCCCCGTTCCCACGGGGACCCCGAGGGGACCCCGGGCACAGCCTCAGGACTGTCCCCATGTCCCCAGCCTGTGACAAACAGCAAGGCTGCAGCCAGCACCCCCCGGGGGGCACACAGGAATTTGGGGGGCCGAGGGCAGGGGGGTCCCCGGGTCACTGTCACCAGCCTGGTTTCAGGGACGGGGAGGCTCCCGCGGGTGCGGGGTGGCCCTGTCCCCACCCCGCAGATGTCACACCAGCTCACGGGGCAGGAATTGGCTTCCTGCAGCCCCATCCGGCCCCGGGGTGACCGGGGGACGGGGCTGGGACGTTCACCGAGCCCCACGTCAGGCACCGGGATGGCCTCTTGGGAAAGCGGCGGCTGAGTCAGGCCCGGCAGGGACCGGGACCGGTTTGGGGTGAATCACCGGCCCCGCAGCCAGGCGGGCCCGTGACTCCCCGGCCCTGGAATTCGGGGAGCCGGGACCGGCTGAGGAAGGGGCAGGTGCAGCCGCGGCCCCACAGCGGGAGGGGACACGGGAAAGGCACCCCCGAGTCTTCAACCAGCCCCGGATCCCCCTCGGGACCGGCCCCACGGGCACGGGGTGCGGGCCTGGCCCCACGGGCACGGGGTGCAGACCCGGCCTCGGGACCCCGGCATGGCCAGAGGGGACATGGAGGGACTGAGGCCATGTAGGGACAGCGATGGGGGCCATATAGGGTCAGGGACCCTATAGGAACTTGGGCCATATAGGGTCAGGGACCATATAGGGACTTGGGCCATATAGGAACAGGGACCCTGCAGAACTTGGGCCATATAGGGTCAGGGATCCTATAGGAACTTGGGCCATATAGGGTCAGGGATCCTATAGGAACTTGGGCCATATAGGGTCAGGGACCCTGCAGGAACTTGGGCCATATAGGAACAGGGATCCTGCAGGAACTTGGGCCATATAGGGTCAGGGACCCTGCAGGAACTTGGGCCATATAGGGTCAGGAATGGGATCATACAGGGACTCGGGCCATATATGGATAGGACCATATAGGGACTTGGGCCATATAGGGTCAGGGATAATATAGGGACTTGGGCCATATAGGGATGGGACCATATAGGAACTTGGGCCATATAGGGACCTGAATGGGATCATATGGGACTCGGGCCATATAGGGACAGGAATGGGATCATATGGGACTCGGGCCATACAGGGACATGAATGGGATCATTCAGGACTCGGGCCATATAGGACCACAGGACCCCGTGTGACAGGGTGACCGTGTGCAGGGGGTCGGTGTCCACTTCCACATCCTGGTGCTGGGGTTCTCCACAGCCTGTCTGGCCTGGGAGCCCCACTAGGGATGGTCAGCACGGTGCCCAGCCCGGCAGTGGCCCCTGCTGGCCCCATCGGGGCTCGCTGGAGGGGACAGTGGGGCCACAGCCGGTGCCCAGAGCCACCGCGGTGTCCCCAGCCCGGCCACGGCAGCTCCTCCCTCCCCAAAGCCTCTTCCAGAGCCCCGCGATGGGATGGGGAGACAAGATGGGCCCAGCCCAGCACCGGGAACTGGAGCGACTGGTTTAGCTGGGTCAAAGTGGAGCAGGGGAGTCGCAGTGGCAGGAACCTGTTCCGAGCTGTGTGTAAAGCTCCTGGCATGTCCCTCGCTGCTCCCGCTTCCCGAGCCCGTCCTGGGAATGTGCCAGCCGGGCTGGGCGTGCTCTGCCCCGGCTGCAGGGACCCCCGGGACCCCCCGGGACCCCCCGGGACCCCCGAGTGCTGGGGTTCGCCCTGGGGCTGCTGTCCCGAAGGGTTTGGGGGTCCTGCTGTCCCGGAGGGTTTGGGGGTCCCGCTGTCCCGGAGGGTTTGGGGGTCCCGCTGTCCCTCGGACCCCGCGGCCATGCCCGCAGTCCTGCTGGCCCTGTCCCCTCCGTCCCCTGGCAGGGACCGGGCTCGGGGTTATTTTTGGGCAATGCCCGTCCCTGTCACGAGTAGCTGCTGGCCCGGTGACACCCCCGGCCGTTCCCGGAATCCTGTCCGCCGCTCGGGGGACCGGGACACGGCGAGTGAGTGCCACGGGCCCCTCCCGGTGCCCCCATGCCCAGACCCCCGGGATTTCGGGATCCGGCCCCTCCCGGAGCCCCCGGGATGGAGCCGTGTCCTGCTGGGAAGCAGCTCCCTTTGGAGCCGCCCTTTGGGATCGCTGCTCCTCTCTGGGACTCGCAATTCCAGCTGGGACCCCTCCTCTGCTCGGGGACCCCCCCCCAGCTTCCCCATTCCCAGGGCAGCGGGGAGGGGGTGGCCCCACAGCACCGCCACTTTTGGGGTGCCCAGGCAGGGCCCGTCCTCAGCCGCAGGGACGGGAAGTGCGGGAGGTGGGAGCAGAGGCAGCAGGATGTAATTAGCCCCAAATTAGGGCTGGAACCCGGCATGAGGAGCCCGGCACCACCCGGCCCTGCTGAAAATGCAGCTCCTGTTTGAGGGGGTCCCAACTCCTGGGTGGGGGGGTGTCCCCGAGAGGGGGGCTGAGGAATTTGGGGGCTGAAGCACTTGGGGGTTGAGGAATTTGGGGGATCAGGAATTCGGGGGATTGGGAATTTGGGGGATCAGGAATTTGGGGACTGAAGAATTTGGGGGCTGAGGAACTTGGGGGATCAGGAATTTGTGGGCTGAGGAATTCAAGGGATCGGGAATTTGGGGACTGAAAAATTTGAGGGCTGAGGAGTTCGGGGGATCGGGAATTCGGGGGATCGGGAATTCGGGGGCTGAGGAATTCGGGGGATCAGGAATTCGGGGGATCGGGAATTTGGGGACTGAGGAATTCGGGGGATCAGGAATTCGGGGGATCGGGAATTTGGGGGCTGAGGAATTCGGGGGCTCAGGAATTCGGGGGCTCAGGAATTCGGGGGATCGGGAATTCGGGGGATCGGGAATTCGGGGGATCAGGAATTCGGGGGCTGATCTCCCCGGGGATGCCGGAGCCGGGCAGGCTGCGGGCTCCATCCCGCGCGGATCCGGGGCCGTAACGGGATCCGCGGGATTATCAGCATCCCCCGGGCCGACTCGGAGTCCGGTTTCTTGGCCGAGGCGTTGCTGCAGCAACGTCGGGCTCGGCATTGTGGGGCCTTTTCAGGCGGACAAGAGCCCTTTGAGCGCGCGGGGGGCCCGCGGAGTCACCCGATAGCCCCCGCCGCTCCCCCCGGGCCCCGCCGGCTCCCGCGGCCGCTCCGGGGACACCGGATCCCTTTATCGGGCCCGGGAGCGGGGCCGGGCCCCGGTGCTGACAGACGGGGGATGCCGGCGGTGCCCCCGCGGGGTCACGGCGTGGCCACCCGTGGGGTCACCGGGCACTGAGCCCAGCGAGGGACCCCGGTGCCGGTGCCCGTGCCCGTGCCGGTGCCCTCCCGACGTGCCCGTTTTTTCTGCATCCCGGGGGTGGCTCGGGGGTGGCACGGGGATCCCCCCCGAAGTGGGGTGTCACCCCAGCCGTGCCCGCGGGTGTAGCCGGGGCCAGCCCGGGCTGTGCCCCCCACGCCCGGCCCCCGCGGGGCTGGCCGCCGGTGCCAGCCGGGCTGCCCAGCCCCGGTATCGGATCCTCCCGGAGGGAGGGGGCTTGCAGCTTATTTAACGGGCCCCGCCGGGCCGGGCGGGCGCACTCGGAGCACGGGGAGCTCAGGTGAGCACAGGTGTCCCTGTCCCCCCCAAACCTCCCCGCCCAGCCCCGGGGAACCCCCCCAGTCCTGCCCGGGGGCACCGCGGCCGCGGTGGGTGACATGTGGGGGTGGCACCGAGACAGGGGCGCCGGTGGGTGACGTGCTGGGGTCCCGCAGCCGCAGCCATGGGATCGCAGCTGGAAGGGGCCATGGAGACCCTGATCAATGTGTTCCACCACTACTCGGGCAAGGAGGGGGACAAGTACAAGCTGAGCAAGAAGGAGCTCAAGGAGCTGCTGCAGAGCGAGCTGGGATGTTTCCTGGAGGTAACTGGGACCAGTTTGGGGTGCGGGGCTCTCCCTTTCCCCGTTCCCCGGGGGAACAGCGGCTGCCCAGCCCCAGGGCTCACCCTGTGTCCCCCCAGACCCAAAAGGACGCGGGGGCCGTGGAGAAGATCATGCAGGACCTGGATGAGAACGGCGACGGGGAGGTGGATTTCCAGGAATTCGTGGTCCTGGTGGCCGCCCTGACCGTGGCCTGCAACAACTTCTTCTGGGAGAACGCCTGACCCCCCTCCTGCCGCAGCAGGACGTGGGCTCCCAAAATCCAGAGCCCCCCGCCACCCCCCGGCTCACCCCCTCAGCATTCCCAGGGGATCCCGCTGGGATCCAGCTGCACAATAAAGGCACGAGCCTGCCCGAGGTGTGTCCTCAGCTCCTTCCTTCATTCCTGCTCGGGATTCCTGCCCCGTCCCCAGGGAATATCCCACTCCGGGGTCACAGGGAAAGGCCACCCTGGGTCACCCCAAGTGCCTGGAGACAGGCCTGGCTCCACCCTGGGATCCACCTGGGATCCACCCCGGGATCCACCCTGGGACCCACCCCGACTGCCCGGGGCAGGGTGACCCCAGGGCGGGGGATCCCGGCCGGTGTCGGGGTGTGGGACGGGGGATTTGGGAAGGGGGTGACAGGCCGGGACTCGCTGCAGGTGGCTCCGGAGGCGCCGGCACCGCGCCCGCGGCGCTGGAGGAACCGGTTGGGATCTCCCGGCCCACTGGGATGGGACGGTGGCCAAGGGCCCCACCAGGGCCGCCAGCGCCATCATCCGCCCGCCATCCCGGCTCGGGATCGGCCCTGCCCGGGTGGGATGGACATCGGGAAAGGGGCACGGAAAGGGTCAAGGAGCAGCTGGCCAGTGCCCCCAGGGACACGGTGGGACACCGGGAGTGTCATGGGCAGGGGGCTCCACGGTCCTTACAGCCCCCTTCCAACTCCACAACTCCCTAACGCCTGGATCCTATATCATTCCACGATTGAGCATTGTGTGATTCCATAATTCTAAGATTCCATGGAGCTGATAAAGCTGACACAATTCCGTGGGACGCGGTGACTCCGTGACTCCACAGCTCCATGACTCCACGGTTCCTTGACCCCCCGACTCCCTCGTCCCACGGTTCCCTGACGGTTCCCTGACGGTTCCCTGACGGTTCCATGACGGTTCCATGACGGTTCCATGCCGGTTCCATGACGGTTCCATGACGGTTCCCTGACGGTTCCATGCCGGTTCCATGCCGGTTCCATGCCGGTTCCATGACGGTTCCATGACGGTTCCATGACGGCCCCACGACGTTTCCATGACGACACCGCTTTCTATGACGTCACAGGGACTCCACCCCGGCTCCCGCCAGAGCGTTTCCGCCTCTCCCTCCGCCCCGCCCCATTCTCCGCCCCCCTCCGCGGCTCCACCAATCACCGCCCGGCCCGGGGGGGCTCGCGCGGCGGTGGGCGTGGCCGGGAGCGCGGCCGCCATTTCGGCGGGGGCGGGAGCGGCGCCGCCGCCATTTTGTCGCGGGCGGCTGAGGGAGAAGCGGCGGCGGCGGCGGGCGGAGCTCAGCGCCAGCCCCGGCCCGCGCCGGCCCCACACCGGCCCCGCACCGGCCCCGCATTCACTCGCCCGCCCGCCTGCTGGCCGAGCCACCGGAGACCTGGCGACCGTGTGCTTCGGTGAGTGACCGGCCCGGCTGCGCGGGGGCGGGGCGCCGGGGGCCGCTCCTGAGGGCCGGGGTTCCCTCATGGCCCCCTCAGGGTCCCCTCACAGCCCGCGGGAGCCCCTCAGGGTCGGGGCTTTTCCTCCGGAGCCGGGCCTGAGGGAGGCGGAGCGGTTTGTTTTTTGGTGGTTTTTTTTTTTTTTTTTTTTTTTTTTATCCTCAGGAAGAAAAACGCTTTAAAAACCACTTCAAATTGAAGAAGCTGCTGTATATTAAAACAAAATTATTACAATTAGTTTCAAGCAGCAATGAGGCTTTCTGTTGTCTCAGTTGCTGTATGTAAATCCTCTCATAAATCGTTTTTTTCAGGGTATTATGGAATAAGCGCATCCCGGCCGTCATCCACCCGTTCGATTTGCAGCTAATTATAAATTAAATTAATAAATCGATCTGCAGAGCTCGGGGGTTGGAACCCAGAGTGTGTCTGTAGCATCCAGCACTGAGGGGGGATTTAAATCCCTGCCCTGAGCGAGCTGGAACCTCCATGTTTTTAAAGGGTATGATGCTTTTGTAGCATCATCTTGGATTTTTATTCCCTGTGCCCTTAGAATTGGGGTTTGCACCTTGGTCATGCTAAGAACACGGGAAATGTGGAGGTATCAGTGTGCTAAAGGCGTTTGGGTGCTATTTACAGTTGGATTTGTATGTTATTACTCAAAAAAACGATAAGGTATTCACTGTAAAAATGTACATTTTTACTAAAGGTAAATTAAAATAACTCCAATTTTTATTAAATCTGGTAGAGGGCTAGGAAACATTAAAAATGCATAAATACAATACGTATAACTAGCCTCACTCTTAGTACTCTCCACAGAGAGCAGAAGTTTTTTAATGTTTAATCATGTAAATACGTAATAATTGTTTTAATTTGATGTCTTGGGTTCTGTATTGCATCTTTGCTCTGAAGGTGGCATTTGGTTGCCATCTTGCTCCTGGATTTTTGTGTTATTCCTCCTAATATTGCTGAAGCTTTCACTGTAAAATGATATATTTTTTGGTAAGGGAGAAATAAAGGAACTCCCTGATTTATTAAAACCAGGAGAGGACTAAAAAACATTCAAAATCCCAGAATCAGAATGGAAAAATTCTGGCAGAGGGCTAAAAATCAGTGGGAAAAAATGAATATATTACACATAACCTGCCCTAATCTTGATTTCCTCCACCCAAAGAGGCAGAATGGAAGGGATGTTTCGTACTTAGCAGTATAAATGTGTAATAAATGTCTAAATTTTCCCTTCTGGGCCCTGTTTTGCAGATTCTCTGAAGATGGCTGCACAGTCAGCACCGAAGGTCGTGCTAAAGAGCACCACCAAGATGTCTCTGAACGAGCGGTGAGGAAGCCAACGGCACCTTCAGCTCCTAAGAAATCATATATAATTTTTTTTTTTTTACTTAATTCTCACTATCCAAAAACCCACCGTGGTTTCCGCCCTCTTTTAACCTCGTCGAGCGAGCGGGTGCCTCCACCCCCGCCTTACCCTCCGACCCCTGCGGCACGCAAGGTTAAAAGGGCCAAAAATCCCGGAGGGATTGCTCCGTGTTTAGTGTTGATTTGCCTCGTAAATCCGGTGGGATGTGTTGTTGTAAGAGCAGAGACCAACCTCACACCCTCCCTGTCTCTCCCACATGTTTTGACATTGGTATTTTGGCTCTGCTGCCGCGCCCGAGGCTCCCACCTGCCCGGGTGGGCCCTGTAAGAGGCCGGCGGCGGCCCTGGAACCGGCCCGAAGGCTCTTCTGGGCCTTGTAAGAGGCAACAGCTTCGCTTCACCTCCATCTCTCTCTGTCCTCGAGCTCTTCCCGTGGGTCATTCCGCTGGGTTTCTCCACGTGTGGCTCCTCTGTGGCGACTAACGGGTGTCCTGCTGAGCATTTTGGGGCTAAACACGCTGCCATGGGGCAGCCACTGTCCCACTGAGCATTTTGGGGTTAAACACGCTGCCATGGGGCAGCCACTGTCCCACTGAGCATTTTGGGGTTAAACACACTGCCATGGGGCAGCCGCTGTCCCACTGAGCATTTTGGGGTTAAACACGCTGCCATGGGGCAGCTGCTGTCCCACTGAGCATTTTGGGGTTAAACACGCTGCCATGGGGCAGCCGCTCTCCTAGTGAGCATTTTGGGGTTAAACACGCTGCCGTGGGGCAGCCACTGTCCCTCTGAGCATTTTGGGGTTAAACATGCTGCCATGGGGTAACCACTGTCCCTCTGAGCATTTTGGGGTTAAACACGCTGCCATGGGGTAACCACTGTCCCACTGAGCATTTTGGGGTTAAACACGCTGCCATGGGGCAGCTGCTGTCCCACTGAGCATTTTGGGGTTAAACACGCTGCCGTGGGGTAACCACTGTCCCACTGAGCATTTTGGGGCTAAACACACTGCCATGGGGCAGCCGCTCTCCTAGTGAGCATTTTGGGGTTAAACACGCTGCCATGGGGCAGCTTCTGCTCCCTGCAGGGAGCTCAGGGACACCTTGCTGCCCCCTTCCCTCCCTGTCAGCCCAAACTCCTCGTTTTTAGGGGTGGGTTTTGTTCTCCAGCTCCCAGGAAGCTGCTGGGGTGCTGCTGAGGAGCTTTATTTACCGCCTCGCTGCGTGTTTGCTCTTCCATGGAGAAAAAAAACACCACAAAAATTCCCAAGCAGCCTGATTTCAGGAGAGCAGTTGGGGGGCTGTATATATAATATCCAGGAGATGTTCAGGGTGCTGGAATTTTGTAGAATCACACAACTGCTAAGGTTGGAGAAGGCTTTAAGATGATCCCTTCCAACCTGGCGCCAGAGGACAACGAGCGTGGCAGCTTCCCAACCTACCTCCTGGCCTGAAATTTTGACTCTTTTCCCAGATTTTTTTGGGTTGCTTTGGCTTTTGTTGTCCTGTTTCTCTCCCCCTGTCACCACCATCCCCGCTTCCTGCTGGTTGTCAGCCCTTCTGCCATCTCTAAACCCACTAACCTCCGGCTTTTTCATTCCCACTGAAAACTTCCACCTCATTCCTGCCTCTCCGGGCCTCGCGGCCAGCCAGGGATCCGTAATCCCATACGTGCCACTCTTTGCATAAGGTTCATGGGAGCTGGAGCCCCGCTCGAGCACCGTGAAATGCCGATAATTGTGTGTTCTAAGCTTTAATGAAACCCCGTTTTATTCGACCTTGAAGCTTCACTAACATGCTGAAGAACAAACAGCCGATGCCGGTGAATATCCGGGCCACCATGCAGCAGCAGCAGCTGGCCAGCGCTCGAAACAGACGTCTGGCCCAGCAGATGGAGAACAGACCGTCTGTGCAGGCCGCTCTGAAGCTCAAACAGGTGAGAGAAAAGGGGATTTGGGCCTTGCAGGATGTGGAAAAAGCTCCTCCGGAAAGAGAAAGAGGCCAGAGAAGGGAAGGGGATGGAGGGTGAGTGTGGGGAGCTGCTGGAGGAAAGGAGGCTCGGGGGGAACCTTCTGGCACATCTCCCTGACAGGAGGGTCAGGTTGGACACAGGAATTTTTCCCTGGGAAGGGTGGTCAGGCTTTGGCAGGGGCTGCCCAGGGAATTTTGGAGTTGCCATCCCTGGAGGTGTCCGGGGAAAGCCTGGATGTGGCACTCAGTGCCCTGGGCTGGGCACAAGGTGGGGATTCAGTGGTCTGGGAGGTCTTTTCCAACCTGGAGACTTGTGGGATTCTGTAAAAAAGGTGTTGGAGAGTGTCCAGAGGAGAGAGACGAGGATGGAGAAGGGTCTGAAGTGGCTGAGGGCGCTTGGTGTGTCCAGCTGGAGCAGAGGAGCCTGAGGGGAGACTGGGGGATCTGCAGCTCCAATCTCTGCTCCCTGGGACAGGAGCAGGATCCAGGGAATGGCTGGAGCTGTGCCAGGGGTTCAGGCTGGACATAGGGAAAGGCTCTTCCCCCAGAGAGAGCTGGGCACTGCCCAGGCTCCTCAGGGAATGGGACGAAGCTGTGCCAGGGGAGGTTCAGGATGGATTTTAGGGAAAGGCTCTTCCCCAGAGAGAGCTGGGCACTGCCCAGGCTCCTCAGGGAATGGGATGAAGCTGTGCCAGGGGAGGTTTAGGATGGATTTTAGGGAAAGGCTCTTCCCCCAGAGAGAGCTGGGCACTGCCCAGGTTCTTCAGGGAATGGGCACAGCCCTGAGGCTGCCAGAGCTCCAGGACACCGTTCCCATGGATGCACAGGATGGAATTTTGGGGTGTCTGTGCAGGGGCAGGAGTGGGCCTGGATGATCCTGATGGATCCCTCCCACCTCCGAGCATTCCATGATCCTAAAAATGAGATACCTGGGAGGGACTTGCAGAAAATTTCCGCTTTTTACCTCAGATCAGCAACGCGTTGTCATTCCCTGGTTGTTGGTGGGGGCGTTGGGTGCAGGCTGTTGATGTCTCCTCTCTATTTTTCCAGAGAAACGGCTCATCCCGGGGTCTGGGAGCTGCCGAGTGCTTCACCTCAGTCCCACGGCAGCGACAGCCCCTAAAATCCCACCCTCCTCCCTCGGTAGCGTGGCGGTTTTTCCCCGAGGAGCAGCGGGACCCGCTCCCGTGCTGGCTGATCGGGAACGCAGGCCTGGCCTCCAGGCACACCCCTCCATTCCCAGCGCCGTGTCCCCCTGGTGTCCCCAATCCCAGACCGCTGCATGACTCCTGTCCCTCCCAAATCTTCTCTTCCAGAAGAGCTTGAAGCAGCGCCTCGGCAAGAGCAACATCCAGGCGCGGCTGGGCCGGCCGGCGGGGACGCTGGCCCGGGGGGCGCTGGGGGGCCGCGGGCTGGCCCTGGGCCAGCGGGGGCTGCCCCGGGGGGCTCTGCGGGGCCGCGGCGCCCGGGCCATGATCCGAGGAGGAGTCGCGCTGCGAGGTCAGTCCCCTGCCATCCCCCCTGTGCCCCCGTGCGCCGCTGCCTGGGCTGAAATCCCGCTTTCCTGGCTGAAATCCCGCTTTCCTGGCTGAAATCCCGCTTTCCTGGCTTCTCCGCTGCAGGTCAAGGCCTGCTGCGCGGCGGGAGAGGCATTGCCCCGCGGATGGGCCTGCGGAGAGGCGGCATCAGGGGCCGCGGCGGCCCGGGGAGAGGCGGCCTGGGCCGGGGCGCCATGGGCCGCGGAGGGATCGGCGGCAGAGGTGAGTGCCCAGGCCGGGAATAACGGGAATATTCACCTGGGATCCCTCTGTCCTGGCTAAGGCTGGGGCGTGGAACCTGCAGCCCTGAGAGCTCCAAGCCTGCCATTCAAACCCATTTATCCAAGACTGGGTTATTTTTAAAACCGAAGCTCGGCAGGGGTTGGGAGGGGAAACGCAGGAGCCAGATGTTGGTGTTGGGCTGGGACTGAGGAATTCTTGGGAAGGAGCTGGGAGTGTATCCAGAGTGGTACACCTCTCTGGGCACCCATGGGATGGGAAATGCCAGGATGTGGGGCGGGAAATCCCGGGATGCAGGGTGGGAAATCCCAGGATGCGGGGCGGGAAATCCCAGGATGCAGGCACTGACTGTTGTGTCCCCTCTCCGTCCCCCGCAGGGCGCGGCATGGCCGGGCGCGGCCGGGGCGGCTTCGGCGGGCGCGGCAGAGGCCGGGGCCGCGGCAGAGGCTCGGCGCGCCCCGCTCTCACCAAGGAGCAGCTGGACAACCAGCTGGACGCCTACATGTCCAAGACCAAGGGACACCTGGACGCCGAGCTGGACGCGTACATGGCACAGACGGATCCCGAGGCCACCGACTGAGGGGCCGGGACTGCCGGGGAAGGGGGGGCTGTTCCGTCGGGAGCTGCGCTGGGAATCCCCGATGGAAAATTCAGACTTAGTGTGTTCTTCGATGTTTTGATACTCTCTGTTATATTAAACTTTTTTTGGATTGTTCTTGCCGGGGGGGATCTTTTTGGTGGTTTTTCCCTGGTGGGATGGATCTGCCACGGAGAATCCGATGCTGGCGGCGCCAGGGGTGCATCCGTGGTTTGGGGACCGGGGCTGTGTGTGCCTCTGTAGCTCTGTGGTTGAGTTTTGGGATGGGTTTCTTGACTTTTGGGATCAACCCTTGCACATTTTGGGACAGCCACATTCCCTGCTGGAGTTTAAGCCAAATCCAGCCTTCCCAGCAGGAAGAGCCCGAGTTTGGCTGCTGTTCTCCCAGCTCCTTTGGTTCTGCACCAAAAATCCCTGTGGGGTTGGGGCAGGCGGAAAACTTCCCTCTTTTGGTGGATTTTGGGGGGTTGGAGTTTGAGTTCTTTTTTTGCTGTGTTTCTGTGTGTTTCAAGTGCTTGTTTAGAGAAAATTCAGGCAGGACAGTGAAGTGGAAATGCCTCTTTTCCAGAACAGGCTCCAAAATCCATCATTTTTCAAAAAACTGATAAATTTTCAAGATGCAGTGTGACTAAAGGGTCTGTGCTTTTCTCACCCACCTCTTCCATGCTTTAAATTTTCCTGTTCAGTGCCCTGTTCCCATTCCCTTGGAATCTTGCATTTCTGGTTACTCAAAGAGGGAGAATTCCCAAAGCTCTGTGTGGGAAACGGGATTTTCCTGAGTTTACTCCTCGGGGGCAGAAGGAAGAGGAGGGGAATGCAGCGAGGGGGGCTGGGGCAGCACCGGGATTCCACAGGGACCCACGGTATTCCCGGGGGATAACCGGGACCCGCGGTATTCCCGGGGGATGACCGGGACCGGGACCCGCGGTATTCCCGGTGGGAGCAGAACCGGACCCGCGGCGATCCCGGGGGATAACCGGGCCCGGACCCGCGGTATTCCCGGGGGATGACCGGGGCCGGACCCGCGGCCATCCCGGCGGGAGCAGAACCGGACCCGCGGTGTTCCCGGCGGGAGCAGAACCGGACCCGCGGTGTTCCCGGCGGGAGCAGAACCGGACCCGCGGTATTCCCGGGGGATGACCGGGGCCGGGACCCGCGGTATTCCCGGCGGGAGCAGAACCGGACCCGCGGTGTTCCCGGGGGATAACCGGGCCCGGACCCGCGATATTCCCGGGGGATAACCGGGGCCGGACCCGCGGTGTTCCCGGGGGATAACCGGGCCCGGACCCGCGGTATTCCCGGGGGATAACCGGGACCGGACCCGCGGTATTCCCGGCGGGAGCAGAACCGGACCCGCGGCCATCCCGGTGGGAACAGAACCGGACCCGCGGTATTCCCGGGGGATAACCGGGCCCGGACCCGCGGTATTCCCGGCGGGAGCGGGGCCCGGCGGCGCCGGGGGCGGGGCCCGGCTGTGGGGGGGGCTGGCGCCGTGAAAGCGCGGCCGCGATTGGCTGGCGGGGCGAGGCCCGGCTGTTACGGGCGCTGCTATTGGCTGCGGCGCGGCGGCGCCTCACGCGCTCCGGCCGCTCCTTTTGTTATTGTAGGGACGGAGTTGGGAAAGGGCTGAGGGAGAGGGAACGGGGAGAGGAGAGAGAGGCTGAGGGACCGGGAACGGGAACGGGGAGAGGAGAGAGAGGCTGAGGGAGCGGGAACGGGACCGGGGAGAGGAGAGAGAGGCTGAGGGACCGGGAACGGGAAAGGAACCGGGGAAAGGAGAGAGAGGCTGAGGGAGCGGGACCGGGACCGGGGAGAGGAGAGAGAGGCTGAGAGACCGGGAACGGGACCGGAGAGAGGAGAGAGAGGCTGAGGGAACGGGGAGAGGAGAGAGAGGCTGAGGGACCGGGAACGGAGAGAGGAGAGAGAGGCTGAGGGAGCGGGACCGGGACCGGGGAGAGGAGAGAGAGGCTGAGGGAACGGGACCGGGACTGGGGAGAGGAGAGAGAGGCTGAGGGACCGGGAACGGAGAGAGGAGAGAGAGGCTGAGGGACCGGGAACGGGACCGGAGAGAGGAGAGAGAGGCTGAGGGAAAGGGCTGAAGGCAGGAGGAAGGGACTGAGGGAAAGGCAGGGGGCTCAGGACAGGGCAGGACAGAGGGGCTCAGGGCAGGGGGCTCAGGACAGGGCAGGGGGCTCAGGACAGGGCAGGACAGAGGGGCTCAGGGCAGGGGCTCAGGGCAGGGGGCTCAGGGCAGGGCAGGGCAGGGGGCTCAGGGCAGGGCAAGGGGCTCAGGGCAGGGGGCTCAGGGCAGGGGCTCAGGGCAGGGGGCTCAGGGCAGGGGCTCAGGGCAGGGGGCTCAGGGCAGGGGCTCAGGGCAGGGCAGGGGGCTCTGGGCAGGGCAGGGGGCTCAGAAGGCTCAGGGCAGGGGCTCAGGGCAGGGGGCTCAGGGCAGGGGCTCAGGGCAGGGGCTCAGGGCAGGGGGCTCAGGGCAGGGCAGGGCAGGGGGCTCAGGGCAAGGCAGGGGCTCAGGGCAGGGGGCTCAGGGCAGGGCAGGGGCTCAGGGCACGGGGCTCAGGGCAGGGGGCTCAGGGCAGGGCAGGGGGGCTCAGGGCAGGGAGGGCAGGGGGCTCAGGGCGGGGGGCTCAGGGCACGGCAGCAGCACCGTGAGCCGCAGGGGATGCGGCGGGAGCCGGGCCGCGAGTGACGGCAGCCGGGGGCGGTGGAGGTGAGTAAAGCCTGACCCATCATCCGTGCCCTGTGTCCCCTCCTTGGGGCCTGTCACCCCTCGAAGCCCCTGCGCCGTCCTGGTCACCTTCCCGTGCCCCGTGGTGTGCCAGGAGCATCCCTGTGGGACAGGGACCGGCCGGGGGTTCTCCTGGCAGGGGAGGATGGAGCCGGGTCTGGCCCCACCGGTCACCCCAGCTTCCCCCAGACCAGAGCGGGCTGAGTGCTGCAGGCCTGGGGTGGCTCTGCCCCTTCCAGGCTTCCCTGGAGCAGCCGTGCTATGCAGTCCCTGGGGCTGGGGGGAGCAGGACCCAGGTCCCCTCCTGCACTGCTTTTATCCCCGAAACACGGGGCAGAGGATGGGCAGGGAGCAGGGAATGCTGGCATTGGGGCAGCAGCCGGGATGAGATCCTGGGGATGAACCCCAGAGCCTGGCGGGGGGCTCCATGGGGTCTCTGCAGCATCCCTGGAAGTGTCCCCATACCGAGGTGGCATCTTGGAGGAGCTCGGCACAGGGGGACACGCGGGGAGTGCTGGCAGGACACCCAGGCTCCCTCGCAGTCCCAGATAAGGAGCAGAGGCCGGTGGTTTGTTGTGTCTGCTCCATCCCAAGGATTTTCCAAAGCTCTGGAGCGCTGCATGCAGGCTCTGGCGTGAGCAGGGGCTGGCAGGGAGGCAGGAAAGGGAGAAGCCGGGGAGGGAGCGGGGTTAAGGAGCGGCGCCAGGCTGGGCTCTGTTTAGTCTGGCCGCGGCGGCGGCAGCGGAGCCGCTCTGTCCTGGTGGCACCGGGCACGGACACAGCCCCGCTCCTGCCAGGCGCTGGGACACCGCTGTCCCCCAGCCTGATGCCAGGGTGCCACCATCCAGCTCTGGCTCTGCTGCTGTGGGGCGCTGGGGACACGCCGAGTGTGTCCTGTCACCTCAGCCCTTCCCCGAGCTGGGGACAAGCTGTGGGGCTCAGCTCCTGCGATCAGCCGGGGAGCACCGAACCCGGGCTCGGGGTGGCAGATGGCTTTGTCACCTGGAGAGTGGCGGCTCGGTGTGCCCTGCGGCAGGTGACGTGCGGGGCCACGCCGTGCCTTGCAGGGCCGCAGCGCCATGTCCCTGGGCAGTGAGAGCGGCCCCGGCATCGTGCACAGCCTGCTGTGCCACCGGCAGGGAGGGGACAGCGAGGCCTTCGCCCGCCGCGCCATCCAGAGCCTGCTGAGGAAGCTGAAGGAGAAGAGGGACGAGCTGGACGCGCTGGTGGCCGCTGTCACCTCCGGAGGGGCGCAGCCCGGACAGTGTGTCACCGTGCAGCGCACCCTGGACGGGCGGCTCCAGGTACCCCGGGACCCCCGGGCTGGGAGGGGACACAGGTGACACCCGCTGTAACCCCACCCTAAGTTTGGGGGTCCCGGGTGCCCCAGGAGCCCCTGGGCAGGCGGTGGGAGGGGACACAAGTCACACCCCAAGTTTGGGGGTCCCGGGTGCTGGGGTGCCCCAGGAGCCCCTGGGCAGGCTGTGGGAGGGGACACAAGTGACACCCCAAGTTTGGGGGTCCCGGGTCCCGGGAGCCCCAGGAGCCCCTCGCTGGCGGAGCGGGCGGCGGGATCCCCCGGCCGCATCCCCTCGGTGTGTGCCCTGCCCGGTGAGTCAGTGTCTGGCGGCCCCGCCGGGGGGATCGGGGAGGGGGCGTTCGTTCTGTCTGCAGCCGGAGCCGCGGGGAGACCCCGGCCCGGCGCCAGCCCCGCGCTGGGGGCTGGGGGGGATCCCGGGGCTGTCACCCTGGGGAGGGGGTGGCAGCATTCCCCCGCATTCCCCTTTGTGTCCCCTCCCCGCAGGTGGCCGGCAGGAAGGGGTTCCCGCACGTCATCTACGCGCGGCTCTGGCGCTGGCCCGACCTGCACAAGAACGAGCTGAAACCCGCCGCCTTCTGCCAGTTCGCCTTCGACCTCAAGTGCGACAGCGTCTGTGTCAACCCCTACCACTACGAGCGCGTGGGGACCCCCGACAGCGGTGAGCCGGGACCCCCGCACGGGCGGCTCGCCAAGGGGGGGTCACCGGCACCCCTAATCCCGCCCCCCTCCTCTCCTGCAGGTCTGAGCATCCCGAGCACAGGTGAGACCCCGGCCCGGGGCCGGCGGGGAGCCCCCCCGAGCCAGCCCAGGCCCCCGCAGCGGCTCCCCGAGCCCCCCATGGTCTCCGGTGTGTGTCCCCCGCCCTCCCCAGCGCCCCCCCCGCGCCCGGTGAAGGAGGAGTTTGTCCATGACTGTGTGCAGATGGAGCCGCCGGCCCGTCGGGAGCCGGGGCCCGAGCCCCCCGCCCGGCCCCACCCAGCGCTGCCCCCCCGGCGGCCCCCTGAGCCCCCCGGCGTGCCCCGGCCCTACCCTGCGCTCCCCATGGCGCCCCGAGGTGAGACCCCCCTTAGCCCTGACCCTGCCAGGGTTTGGGGCATCACCCTGAGCCCCCCACCCCGCAATGACCCCCCGTTCCCATATTCCCCCACAGCGACCCCCCAGGACCCCCTGCTTCCCCCGGCCCACCCCGAGGGCCCCCCGCAGAACGGGTACCCCAAACCGCCCCACCACAGTGAGTATGGGGGTACCCCGCTGCCCCCCGCCCCCCCTGGGGGGACCCTCCTTATGTCCCCCCGTGTCCCCCTGCAGGTTCACCGCTGAGCTGGAGCAGTGCCACCATCTACACCCCGAGTTTGGGGGGGTCGCAGCCCCCCCCCCCACAACATCCCAGCAGCCAGAGCCACCCCCAGCCCCCCCAGCACCACCCCAACCACTGCTGTAGGTTTGGGGCGCACTGAGCGAGGGCTGAGGGGGGTCTTCAGGGTGCTGACCCCCTCTCTGCCCCTCCCAGGGCCCCCCGTGCTCCAGCCCCCCGTGTCCACCCACCCCGGTGAGTGCCCCCCACCCTCCTTAGCACCCGTGGGTGCCGTGACCCCACTAAAACTCCCCCGTGCCGCCCTCCAGGCCCGGAATTCTGGTGCTCCATCGCCTACTTCGAGCAGGACGTGCAGGTGGGGGAGATCTTCAAGGTGCCCTCCAGCTGCCCCACCGTGGTGGTGGACGGCTACGTGGACCCCTCGGGGGGCGCCCGCTTCTGCCTGGGGCAGCTCTCCAACGTGCAGCGCTGCGCGGCCAGCGAGAGGGCACGGTGGGTCGGGGGGCACGGGGGGCACGGGGGGCACGGGGGCATGGGGGTACGAAGGGCATGGGGGATGTAGGGGGCATGGGGGGCACGGTGGGTCGGGGGGCACAGGGGGCACGGGGGGCATGGTGGGTCAGGGGGCATGGGGGATGTAGGGGGCATGGGGAACACAAGGGATTGGGGGGCATGGGGGGCTCGGTGGGTCAAGGGGCATGGGGGGCATAGAGGACACGGGGGGTACAAAGGGCATGGAGGGGACGAGGGGTCGGGGGGCACGGGGGGCAAAGGGGGCATGGGGGGCACGGGGGTACAGAGGGCATGGGGGATGTAGGGGGCATGGGGAACACGAGGGATTAGGGGGCATGGGGGGCACGGTGGGTCAGGGGACACGGGGGGCATGGGGGGCTCGGTGGGTCATTGAGCATGGGGGGGCACAGGGGGCACGATGGGTCAAGGGGACATGGGGGACATAGGGGGCATGGGGGGTATGAAGAGCGTGGAGGGGATGGGGGGCAAGGAGGGTCATTGAGCATGGGGGGCACAGGGGGCACAATGGGTCAGGGGGCATGGGGGACATAGGGGGCATGGAGGGCACAGGGGATCGGGGGGCATGGGGGACATGGGGAACAGGAGGGATTGGGGGGCATGGGGGGCTCGGTGGGTCAGGGGACACGAGGGGCATGGGGGGCTCGGTGGGTCAGAGGGCATGGGGGGCACGGGGGACACCGTGGGTCAGAGGGCAAGAGGGGCACGGGGAGGGTTGGGAGCAGTGGGGCAGGGGGCACAGGGGCTGTGGGGGTGAAGGATGGGGGGCAAAAGGGGGGATAACCCGGGCAAAGAGGGAGAGGCTGGGGCCGGCCCGGGCAGGCGGAACGGGGGCTGTGGGTGCTGTGGGGGGCTGTGGGTGCTGTGGGGGGCTCTGGGGGGCTGCGGGGGGCTGGGGGGGGCTGTGGGTGCTATGGGGGGCTGTGGGTGCTATGGGGGGCTGCGGGGGGCTGGGGGTCGGTGCTGAGGCTCTGGGCCAGGCTGCACATCGGCAAGGGCGTGCAGCTGGAGCGGCGAGGAGAGGGGGACGTGTGGATGCGCTGCCGCAGCGACCACGCCGTGTTCGTGCAGAGCTTCTACCTGGACAGGGAGGCGGGCAGAGCCCCCGGGGACGCCGTGCACAAGGTGTACCCCGGGGCACACATCAAGGTGGGCTCCCCACCAGGGCTGGGGGCGGTTCTGGGCATGGGTTTTAGGAGTGGCAGGAACCCCAGGGATGGAGGGACCCCGATGTGCATGCTGAGGGGGAGCCCAGGGTACCCCCAGCCCTGCTCAGGGATCCCCCCAGGAGGGCTGGGGGGAGTTCTGGACCCGGATTTTAGGGGGTCCTGGGCAGCGAAAGGACACCAGGGATGGAGGGACCCCCATGGGCTCCCTGAGGTGGGCCCTGAGGTACCCCCACCCCTGCTCAGGGGTCCCCAGGAGGGCTGGGGGCAGTTCTGGGCCCGGATTTTAGGGGGTTCTGGGCAGTGGCAGGAACCCAGAGATGGAGGGACCCTCATGGGCACGCTGAGGAGGCCCCTGGGATACCCCCACCCCTGCTCAGGGATCCCCCCAGGAGGGCTGGGGGCAGTTCTGGGCCCAGATTTTAGGGGGTTCTGGGCAGTGGCAGGAACCCAGAGATGGAGGGACCCTCATGGGCATGCTGAGGTGGGACCCCCACCCCAAAGCCACCCTGCTCAGGGGTTCCCAGGAAGGCTGGGGGGAGTTCTGGGCCCAGATTTTAGGGGGTTCTGGGCAATGGAAGGACACCAGGGATTGAGGGACCCCCATGGGCTCCCTGAGGTGGGCCCTGAGGTACCCCCAGCCCTGCTCAGGGATCCCCAGGAGGGCTGGGGGCAGTTCTGGGCCCAGATTTTAGGGGGTTCTGGGCAGTGGAAGGAACCCAGAGATGGAGGGACCCTCATGGGCACGCTGAGGGGGCCCCTGGCATACCCCCACCCCTACTCAGGGGTCCCCAGGAGGGCTGGGGGCACTTTTAGGCATTCTGGGCAGCGGAAGGACCCCAGAGGCTCTCCCCAAAGCCCAAAGCCGCCCTGCTCAGGGTGCCCCCGTGTCCCCCCAGGTGTTTGACCTGCGGCAGTGCCACCGGCAGATGCAGCAGCAGGCGGCCACTGCCCAGGCTGCGGCCACTGCCCAGGCGGCCGCGGTGGCCGGCAGCATCCCCGGGCCGGGCTCGGTGGGCGGCATCGCCCCCGCCATCGGTGAGTGAGTGACCACAGACCCCCGTGATGCCCACCCCACCCCGGAGTGACCCCCGTGTGCCCCCCAGGGCTGTCGGTGGCCGCGGGGCTCGGCGTGGACGACCTGCGGCGCCTGTGCCTCGTTCGGCTGAGCTTCGTCAAGGGCTGGGGGCCCGACTACCCCCGCGCCAGCATCACCTGCACGCCCTGCTGGATCGAGGTGCACCTGCACCGTGCCCTGCAGCTGCTGGACCACGTCCTGCACGCCCTGCCCGACGCCCACGCCTGACTCCTGGGAGGAGCAGCCAAAAAAACAAACCAAAAAAAAGAGGGAAAAAAAGGCAAAAAAAAAAAAAGCAGCAAAATGACCAAAATGTGTTGGTTTAACGGTTATTTAATGGGTGGATGTTTGTGGCCTGGGTGTGGTGCAGCCCTCAACGCTGATTTTCACCTCCTGCTTTAACTTTTGTATGAAAATAAACCAAAAAAAAAAAATTTAAAAGCTGAAATATCGAGGTGAAAGGACCAACTCCATGTTGTAATAGATGGGGTTGGAACCTATGGCCTGGGTGTGCCAGCGCCTTTGACGGCCGCTCAGCAGCGCAGCTGTGCCGCCAGATGCGTTTCCAGATGCGTTTCCAGATGTGCATCCAGCTGCGCCCTCGCACCGTCCCTTGGGACTACATTTCCCAGCAGCCCCCGCGGCGCGCACCGGACGCGGCCTCGCCCCCTCCCCGCGGACTCGGTTTCCCAGCAGCCCCCGCGGCGGCCGCGGGCCAAGATGGCGGCGGGGAGCGGCCCCGGGGCGCGGGAGCTCTTTGCTGAGGGGCTCCTGCAGTTCCTGCGGCCCGCGGTGCGGCAGCTCGACCGCCACGTCCACAGCGTCAGGTCCGGGCAGCGGCAGCGGGACGGGCCGGGCTGCGAGGCTGAGGGGCAGGTGGAGCAGGGGAGGGCAGGTTTGTGGGGCTGTGGGGGTACGTGAGGGCGAGTTTTGGGGATGAAAAGCTTTGGGGTGCGTGAGGGTGAGTTTTGGGGGTGAAGGGCTTTGGGGTACATGAGGGTGAGTTTTGGGGATGAAGGGCTTTGGGGTACGTGAGGGTGAGTTTTGGGGATGAAGGGCTTTGGGGATGAAGGGCTTTGGGGATGAAGGGCTTTGGGGGTACGTGAGGGCGAGTTTTGGGGATGAAGGACTGTGGGGATGAAGGGCTTTGGGGTATGTGAGGGCGAGTTTTGGGGATGAAGGGCTTTGGGGGTACGTGAGGGTGAGTTTTGGGGATGAAAAGCTTTGGGGTACGTGAGGGTGAGTTTTGGGGATGAAGGACTGTGGGGATGAAAAGCTTTGGGGTATGTGAGGGCGAGTTTTGGGGATGAAAAGCTTTGGGGTACGTGAGGGGGGCAGTTCTTGGGGTTGGTGGCTGGGGGGTGCTGGGCTCTGTATCGGGGACACAGAGGTGGATTTGGGGTGTGGATCCAGGTTTTTCCTGTCCCGCTCCCACAGGGAGAGCCAGGTGGAGCTGCGGGAGCACATCGACAGCCTGGCCACAGGTGAGCCAAAGCCGGGGGTCCCCCCTGTCCCCCTCAGCGCGGGGGCACCGGGGGCTCACCCAAACCCCTCCCCAGAGCTTTGCCGCATCAACGAGGACCAGAAAGTGGCGCTGGACCTCGACCCCTACGTGAAGAAGCTGCTGAACGCCCGGCGCCGCGTGGTGCTGGTCAACAACATCCTGCAGAACGCCCAGGTGAGGGGGCACGGGGGGTCTGGGGGTCCCAGAGCCCCCCTAGGGGGTCCCAGAGCCCCCCCAGGTGCTGACAGGCGATTTCTGCCGTGCCAGGAGCGGCTGCGGAGGCTGAACCACAGCGTGGCCAAGGAGACGGTGCGGAGGAGAGCCATGCTGGAGGCCGGCGGCTACCAGGGCAAGTGACCCGCCAGGGGAGCAGGTGACAGCAGGGGAGCAGCAATCCCTGTCTATCCCAGCTCAGGAATTGAGGGGGTGTCCCCCATCCCCTGCAGCTGAGGGACCCGGGACGCTCCGAGCCGCGCTCCCGGATTTGTGGGCGCTGGAATAAAAGTGACCGAGAGTCCGTGGTGCTGCCACATCCCTCAGGGGCCTTGGGGACAACAGAGCCAGGCAGGTGCTGCCAGGGGGTCTGGGCAGCTCCAGGTTGGATTTGGACACCCCCAGGTGGGATCTGGGCTGCCCCAAGTGGGGTCTGGGCAGCCCCAAGTGGCTCCTTCAAGCCTTGGATCCTCCTCCTGCTGCCCCACCTGCCTCACCCCCATCTGTCCCACACGGACCTGAGCAAGCAGGACACGCTGGAAAGGGGGGACACTTTAATGTGCAACGTACAAAACGGGGACAAGGGACAGACGGGGACACGGCAGGTGGCCGAGGAGGGGCCCTGAGCCCCAGGTGTCCCTCGGCCGGTGTCCCCTCACCTGCTGCGGGCAGCGCAGGTGTCACTCCTGCGTCTCCATGCTCTCCTCCTCCTCGCCCGCCGCCGGCTCTTCCTGGTTCTCCTCCTCCTCCTCCCCTTCCTTCTTCTCCGGAGGTTTCTCGTACGCCTTCTCCGACGGCGTCACGATCACCCCGTCCCACGTGGACATCTCGGAGGCCAGGTCTGCCCCGAGAGGTGACGCTGGGCACCCCTCGGGGACCCCAGCCGGCCCCGAACCCACCCGGGCACGCCCCGGCCCCACTCACAGCTCGGGGACCCCATCCCTGTCCCCACCCGGGCACGCCCCAGCCCCACTCACAGCTCGGGGACCCCGGCCCCGAACCCACCCGGGCACGCCCCAGCCCCACTCACAGCTCGGGGACCCCGGCCCCGAACCCACCCGGGCACGCCCCAGCCCCACTCACAGCTGGCATCACCCTCCTGTCCCAGGATCTTCCGGTACCCTCCGTGGGACAGGATGCGCACGAGGGTCTGGGCGGTGTAGCACACCATGTCCTGGGGACGGGGACGGGTCAGTGTGGGGACAGTGACCGCCCCCAGAGCCCCCTGCGCTCCGGGGACCCCTCCTCATCCTCATCCTCATCCTCACCTGCTGCTCCAGTGTCATCACCGTGTGCACGCGGAAGTTGCCGCTCTCGCACGGATCCGTGATGCCGACGGAGCCGGGCAGGAAGAGCCCGGCCGCCAGGATCTGGAGGCAGCGCCTGCACGGGCACATTCCGGGTTAAAAACCGGATCCTTCCAGCAAAAACAGCACCAGGAAATCCCAGCTGGATGGGCTGGGTTTGTCTCCCAGTCAGCCCCTGAGATCCCAGGGGTTCTGTTGGGGAAACAGTGGGAATTTCTGTGAGGGAAGCCATGCAGGACCTGTAAGCGATGTTGAGGGCCAGGGGCTGCCGGGTGGGATTGTTCATCACGGCGTAGTGGCCCTGCAGAGGAGAGGAGCGGGAATTAGGGCAGGAAAAACAGGAATCCCAACTCCCGCCGGGATCAGGAGCGGCACCGCTCGGTGACCCCACCAGCAGATCCAGGATCCAGGGCGTGAGCGGCTCGAAGCCGGGGAAGCGAATCCGCAGGTCCTTGAGCAGCCGGATCAGGACCTTCACCCTGGAGCAGAGGCAGGAGGAGGCTCAGTCCCACAGAGACTGCTCTCCGTGTTCTTGGGAGTGGGGATTTGGAGCCAGGAGGATTTGGATTCAGAATGAGGATTTGGATTCAAAATGAGACTCTGGACCCAGAATGAGGATGTGGATCCAGAATTATGATTAAATCCAGAATGAGGATCTGGATCCAGAATGAGCATCTGGAATCTGAATGATAATTTGGATCTGGAATGATAATTTTGATCCAGAGTGAGGATCTGGATCCAGAATGAGGATCCGGATCCAGAATGAGGATTTGGATGTGGATCCAGAATGAGAATTTGTATTGAGAACGAGGATCTGAACCCAGAATGGGGATTTAGATCTAATATGAGGATTGGGATCCAGAATGATGATTAGATCCAGAATGAGAATCTGGATCCAGAATGAAAATTTGGATTCAGAACGAGGATCTGGACCCAGAATGAGACTCTGGATCCAGAATGAGAATTTGGATTCAGAACAAGGATCTGGACCCAGAATGGTGATTTGGATCCAGAATGAGGATCTGGACCCAGAACAAGGACCTGGACCCAGAATGGTGATTTAGACCCAGAACAAGGACCTGGACCCAGCCCTGGCTCCGCGGGACTCACGTGGACTGCGAGGCGTTCTCCTCGAACCACCGCGCGTGCCGGATGGCGGCCAGGGCGCTCTGCAGCACCTTGATGTCCACTGCAAGAAGCAGAAATTCCCGGTTTTCCCAGGCGGCGCCGGGCGCGGCGGCGGCTCCGGGCGGGGGGCGCGGCCGGGCGCTCACGGTGCAGCTCCGGGTCCAGCTTGCGCAGGTTGGGCGGCACCGTGGTGATCAGGATCTTCACCGTGGCGTCGGCCGAGCTGATCTCGAAGCCGGTCTCGTTGGTCAGCATGGTCAGGACTGCAGGAAGAGCGGGAATTGTGTGTGGAAGCGCCGGGAATCTCGGCGGATCTCCGGCCCTCGCCGCTCCGGAGCGCGGCCTCACCTTCGCTGGGGTCCTGCGCCCGCAGGCTCTCCACAACCTTGTTCCCCAAGGCTGCCACGGCTTCCACTGGGAAAACAGATGGAAAAGGAGCAGGAGAAGGGTTGGAGCGAGGCTCGGTGCCAAGGGCCGCCGCCATCCCGCCCGGGTGGCACTCACGGGTGGGCAGGATCTTCAGGATCACCACCAGATCCGCCACGTTGTGCCCCGTCGTCATCGTGCCCTTCTTGTAGGAGCCCACCTGGCGAACCTCCTCGATTTGCTGGCGGAGAAAACAACCCAAAATCCCGGGAATTCAACCCGCACGCCGCGTTTGGCGGGTCAGCGTTGAGGAGCTCCTCCCGTTTGCCAGTGCCACCACTGTGGACCTCACCCAGCATCTCCCACGGAGCCTCTGCACTCACCACCTCAAAGGTGCCCGGTGCCACGATCAAATTGTCGATGACGTTGTTGATCTTGGTCACCAGGGACAGGATGGAAGCCTGGGAAGGAGCAGAATTATCCAGGAATCCGTATTATTCTCCACAACACTCCTCCAAAGTGCTTATTCCAGAGAACTAACTAATTCTCAAGCCACTCGTGAAGAGCTCTGGATTCCCCGAGGCGCTGGGGGATTTTGGGCACGGCACCTGCTCGGCAGCGGTGGGAGCCAGGTCCTGGTTCCTCTTGAGCAGGGCCTCGCTGAAGGCCGTCTCGTCCGCCGCGGGCTTGACGCGGGGAAAAGCCATCTCACACTGGAACGGGACACAATTCCCAGCGGGATCGCATCCCCCCTGCTCCTGTCAGCCTCCAGCAGCTGCACAGGCGGCCAGCAGAGGGTTTTGTGAGGTTTATTAAAGGATTTATTAAATTAGCCCATTAACCCCCTGTTGTCTCAGCCACGGAGTCACCCGTGCAGAGGGCAGAAACTCGGAATTTGGGAAGAGGGGATTTCCTCCTGGGAAAGGGGGG